TTAACAAGTGACAGGAACTTGGATTTTATCCTATAGGCAACAAAAGGCTTGAAAAGTAGGTGTTTGAGCAGGAGACACCCCTGCGGGAAAGGGTGTTACTTCCCCAATTTTTTCTCTTTTTGAAGGCACAGGGTAACTGGGTTGGGCCCTCTGTAATGTCAGACTCAGCCAGAGGCTCCTAAGGCAGCAACACCGCAGTCACCTCAGAAAAGCAGCAATGGAGACAGCAAGAGTTTTAGGGTGAAATGGACACATGAAGACAGTGGGGGGTAGGGTGGAGGCTGCCCAGCACTGCCAAGCCTCTGTGAGCTGTACATCTCTGAAAACCTAGAGTTATTTAGACAGAGTCCCTCTCTGTCATCCTGAAGGTGCTGCCCCAGCAGTAGAGGCACAGCCCAGGGCTGGTAGAAGAAAGGGAAATGAGTGAAACAAGAGAAGCCTGCAGACTTGCAAAAACACAATAGATGGGAGGAACTTGGGGAGCAGAGGAAACTTTAAGATACTCACTGATAAGGCAACAGAAGCCTGGAGAAGAAAGACAGGTGCCCAGGGTCACTGAGCTTTGAATGACAGACCCAGATTCTGAACGCAGGACCTCTTTCTCTCTACAGGACATGTGTTCTTTCCTACCACTTTGGTCAATTTAAGCAGGAGAGATTTAGTGAAGGGATGTCAGGGGACAATACACTCTATGCTTTTTCACAGCAGTCTGCCACGGAGAGTCAGTGGCTCTCAAACATTACACACCAGAATCCTCTTGTGGGCTTATCTAGATACAGACTGCTGGGCCCCCAAGAATCCGGTACATAGGTCTGGGATGGGGCTCAAGAATTATCAGCATTTCTAACAAGCTCCTGGGTGATGCTCAGGCTGCTGGTCCCAGCTCCCACTTTGGGAATCATGGTCTTACACAGTTTCTCAGTTCCTGAAGCACCCACCGTGCTCTGCAAATAGCAGGTGTTCAATCTGTCCTTGCTGCATTGTAGGTGGATTCTTTACCAGCTGAACCACGAGGGAAGCCCTGTCCTTGCTGCAGTGAATCATACACTTTGGATTTAAAAGACTATCAAAGACTTAATACCCACTGATGATGTTGACCAGAGGCCACTAGTGAGTTAAGCCAATCTTCCTACCTAGCAATTTACATCATGATATACACTAGTTTAATTTCAACCAAACCCACTAAAATGCATTTTACAGAACCCTAAGCCTTGCTGTATTAAAATTCCCTGACAATATGGTGGGTATACACTCTAGTGCAGGAGGAAATAGCTTTGGGGCACTGGATTAATTTCATCTGGTCTGTAGGGAAAATCACATGAAGTGAGTCACCTTTAGGGCTCTATCAGGGAAAATGGAGTGAGGTTTTCAAAGTCTTTAACAGCAATATTGTTAAAGACTGTAATCAGTCAACAGAATTAATGAGGGCCTCCTGCAAGTCACTGTGACAAGCGCTGTAAGAGATGAGGCTGAAACTTAAGCCCTGCCCCAAAGGGTTAACCATCTGGTTGAAGGGATGAGATAAAAGAAGAGGATCTTCTTTTTGTCCCCAAACTTTAAACCTTTTATTTTGTATTGGGGTAGAGCTGATTAACAATGTGTGGTAGTTTTAGGGGAAAAGTGAAGGGACTCAGCCATACATATACATGTATCCATTCTCCCCCAAACCCCCTTCCCATCCAGGCTGGTACATAACATCGAGGAGAGTTCCATGTGCTACACAATAGGTCCTTGTTGGTTATCCATTTTTAATATAGCAGTGTGTACATGACCTTCCAACACTCCCTAACTATATACTATCCCCCAGCAACAATAAGGGTTTTCTAAGTCTGAGCCTCTTTCTGTTTTGTAAGTTCATTTGTATCATTTAAAAGCAGAGGTTCTTGAGGGGTGTGAGGAGAGCTTAGACACTGGAGGATGCACAAAACCCTGCCTACTCCACTTTCTGCAGGTAAACCCAGAGCTAAGCTGGAATTTGCTGTTATCACAGCTCATGAAAGTTTACTGGTGCATCTCTTCCCAACTTGGAATCAACCATAAAGAGTATTTATGCCATGAAAACTGGGCAAAAGCCACAAACCGGGGCTCTTACCTGCCTCCTAGAGTCAGTTTATAAGCACACCATAAACTCCCTGACCTGATAAAGAAGTTCAAGGTGGTTTCCAAGGCATAGTCTGGGAGCATTGCAATTTACCAGGGAAGCTTGGCGTAGAGCGGTGATGACTGAAAGAGGAGCTGTTGTGCATCATTGCCGGGCTGAGGGATAGTGGCCCGTGTTACTGACTGCCCAGGTGAGCAGGGTATAGAGGTGCTTAGAGGACCAGGGAGCAGAAGAGCCTGGGGTCAGCTTGGACACCGAGGAGTTTGAGTGCTGGGACCTTGAAGCCGGAAGCCATGACATCAGTGGATGGAGGCCAGGTGGGACCAGCTAGAGCCAGTGAGGCCACTGGGATAAAAGATGCCATGAAGGCCAAAAGATGAGAGGTAAGGCAGCCCTGTCCCAGCTCTAGATCTTCCCTGGGAAGAGGCGGGTAGTGGAAGTATGAGGAGGAGGTGGGGACCTTGCATTTACTGAGTTTTAATCTCAAGTTGATCATGTTTAAAACCAGAAACGACTAACTTAACTTAGAAGGCAAATTTTAAGTTTACCTGTCCTTGATGAAAACGGTGAGCTTGGGAGCCAGGATAACTTTCATTTCACAAGAATAAAGATTATCTTTGAACATCCGAGTCTTATTGGTTTATTGCTAAAGATTTCAGACCTGTGACATATGCCTTTGTAAAATGAGATGCCATATTTTCAAGTAGCAAGAATTTTAGGGTTTCTTTATCAAAAGAAATGAGAGGGTTCAACAATGCCTATTGTTAACTTTAGGAAAAACTTAATTCACTAACTTTTTTCTAAATTAGTTTTTCTTTTCCTTCCTCTTCTTTTTTTGGGGGGTAGGAGTATCGCACTAGAATTATATACAAGAGATATGGAGGCCTAGTATTTATTGCCTTTGTAAAATCTCAAAACATAAAGATCTTTAGAAAGCACCACATGTGTGTGTACTAAGTCACTTCAGTCGTGTCCAACTCTGTGACCCCATGGACTGTAGCCTGCCAGGCTCCTCTCTCCATGGGATTCTCCAGGCAAGAAGACTGGAGTGGGTCACCATTTCCTTCTCTGGGGGGTTCTTCTTAACCTATGAATTGAACCCATGTTTCTTACATCTCATTGACAGGCGGGTTCTTTACCACTAGTGCTACCTGGGAAGACCAGAAAGGGCCACAGGTGTAATCTAACCAACAACCTCATCTAATAATGGAGGAATCAAACCTCAGAAGTGGGCCCCTGACACAACACTATTAACAGGTAAGCCTCTGTCTCCGGCCTTCTGACTTCAATTCCACTGCTTCTGTGTTATCTGAAAAAGTGTCTTTGCGGATATGTAACTACAGTAAGTGAATCTGAAATTCCAGCCAGAGAGCACTGATGCTATATTAGCTTTTCAAAAAACTTCAAAATGATTAAAAGCATTTTTTCTGTTTTAATCTGAAGTTTCTACTAATGTAAAGAAGTAAGATTTAATTATAGCCCAGAGCGTCCATACTGTAGAGTCCCCACATAAGCCTCAGAGTGAATCTCTTTTTTAATCGGGTGCTATATTTAGTTTTTGGTTTCATATAACATTTTAGATGATTAAAGTAGTTGACATTCATCGGGAGAACTCAAATAATATAGATAAGCATAAGGCAGAAAGTCAAACCACTGGGATTAGCAGATGCAAACTATTATATATAGAATGGCTAAACAACAAGGTGGGCTTCCCAGGTGGTGCTAGTGGTAAAGAACCCTCGTGTCAATGCAGCAGACATAAGAGAAGCGGGTTCCATCCCTGGGTCAGGAAGATCCCCTGGAGGAGGACATAGCAACCCACTCCAGTATTCTTGCCTGGAGAATCCCCATGGACAGAGGAGCCCGGCGGGCTATAATCCACAGGGTCGCAAAGAGTCGGACACGACTGAAACGACTAGGCACAAACAACAAGGTCCTACTGTATAGCACATGGAACTATATTCAATATCCTGTGATAAGCCATAATGGAAAAGAATATGAAAAAGCATGCATATCTAAGTATTTATAACTGAATCACTGTGCTATATGGCAGAAATTAACTGTACTTCAATAAAATATATTTTAAAAAGAAAGTCAAGCCAACCTGACCCCATCCCCTAAAACCCTGGCCCCAGTTGTTCACTCTATACAGCATGGTAAATATAAAGCAGCTTTTCCTCTTGCAATGCTAGTGACTCCAGTGCAAAATGCTAAGCTTTGGGGCGGAGCGAGGGAGGGAAACAGCCCTTTAATAGCTTCTCAGTTCTAAAGATGACAAAAGAATAAGTTAGGGATGTGAAAGTCACCCAGAAACAAAATCATAAGGCTGACAGGTGCTATAAAGGAATCTGTCTGTCTCTGCCCACCAGCTATTTCTTAAGATTCTCACGGCGGATATCCCTTAAGACACAATTTTCAAGTTGTTCTGGAGGCATCAGAGGGTTCTACCACAGTTTGTTCAAAATTTCACTTAAATAACCCTGCTAATAAATATTCAGATGTATCATATTCCATATTTTAATTTGCTGTTAACTTGTCAAGTTAACTCCCTCTTGGCTTGGGCATACCTCAGAAAGAGGTTTTTTTCATTCCTAAGTACAAAAATTTGAACTTGGGCCATTAATGAGGAAAATTGTACCTTTGTGGTCTTTTTAAAAATGCAGGGCTATTCACACAGAATTATATTCAATACCTTATAATAACCTATAATGGAAAAAAATTTGAAATAACTAACTGAATCACTTTGCTGTATACCTGAAACAGACACAGTGTTTGGAACCATACTTCAATTTTTCAGTCAGTTCAGTCACTCGGTCGTGTCCTACCCTTTGCAACCCCATGGACTGCAGCACGCCAGGCTTCCCTGTCCATCACCAACTTCTAAAGCTTACTCACACTCATGTCCATCGTGTTGGTGATGCCATCCAACCATCTCATCCTCCGTCACCCCCTTCTCTTCCTTCCTTCAATCTTTCCCAGCATCAGGGTCTTTTCCAGTGAGTCAGTTCTGCCCAACAGATGGCCAAAATACTGGAGTTTCAGCTTCAGCATCAGTCCTTCCAATGAATATTCAGGACTGATTTCCTTTAGGATAGACTGGTTGGATCTCCTTGCTATCCAAGTGACTCTCAAGAGACTTCTCCAACACCACAGTTCAAAAGCATCAATTCTTCAGTGCTCAGTTTTCTTTATGGTCCAACTTTCACATCCATACATGACTACTGGAAAAACTATAGCTTTGACTATGCAGACCTTTGCTGGTAAAGTAATGTGTCTGCTTTTTAATAAGCTGTCTAGGTTGTTTATAGCTTTTCTTCCAAAGAGCAAGTGTCTTAGTTTCATGGCTGCAATCACCATCTGCAGTGATTTTGGAGCCCAAGAAAATAAAGTCTGGCACTGTTTCCATTGTTTTCCCATCTATTTGCCATGAAGTGATAGGACCGGATGCCATGATCTCAGTTTTTTGAATGTTGAGTTTTAAGCCTTCCATTGAATATTCAGTTCAATTTTTTAAAAAGGTTAATTAAAAAACCCTGCTAGTTCATAAAAACATACAAACATGGATAAAACTGTAGCATTATTTGTAGTGACAGAAAGCTGGAAACAAAGTCCTGTGGCTGAATTATTTATGACATACCAACACAATTATTATTATTCAGCCACTAAAGACTGAATTAAATCTAAACCAATTGATTAAGATTTTTATGAGGTACTAGTGAATGAGAAGAGAAAGACAAATAAAAGTATATATAATATGATCTCACTTTTGATGAGATCCAAAACCAAAAAAAAAAAAAAAAAGCAACCCCACCAAAAAGGCAGGCCTATTTATATCTATGTAAGTAACATGGTAAAGCAGGTACAACATTACTTATGAATATGAAGCAGAGTACTTTAAAATTTGGACCATGAGGCTGACAGCATACACTGAGAGCCTGGATTCTAAAGTTGGGTAAGATTGGATTTGAATAGTTTTCTGTTTGACCTAGAGCACGTCACTTAACCTCTCTGAGCCTCAGTTTTCTTATCTGTAAAGTGGGACTAACATTACTAAAGCTATGCATGTTCTGAAAAGTCCTTTGATTGTTTCTGTCACTGGGAACTTCTCATTGGCTGTCTTTCTAGGATCATCTAATAATTTTTAATATCTAAGATCTTTCTAGTATTCCTTCTTTGTACCCCAGCTTTTAGCTCCTGCTCGTCCAAGTTTTTTTCTTCCTTTTCTTTTAGGTAGCGCCAATCCCTGGAAGTTTTGTTCATTTCTTATGAAAAGCAGCTTGGCTCTATGCCTCACCACACATAGCCATACTGATTTTCCTTATATCTAAAGTTTCACTAGGACGCTTCACTGAAGAGTCCTTGTCCAGCATGCCAGCAGTCCAGAATGCCTGGCAGAAGCTCTAACCTTGCTTGAGACTGATCACTTTCGTGGGCCAGGTGCTCTCCCCACCAGCACTGTGAGCAGGAGGGAACAGCATGGGGGTTTAGCATCTTCTCATATAAATGCTGACACCTCCCCTGTGGTGATTTAGTTGCTAAGTTGTGTCCACCCTTGCGACCCTATGGACTGTAACCTGCCAGGCTCCTCTGTCCACAGGCTTCTCCAGGCAACAATACTGAAGAGGGTTGCTGTTTCCTTCTCCAGGGGATCTGCTCGACCCAAGGATCAAACCTGCATCTGTTATGTCTACTGCACTGGCAGGTGGGTTCTTTACCACGAGTGCTACCTGGGAAGACTGCCATCTCCCCTAGGAGGCAGTAACTGCCTGGTAGGTTGCTTTTATATGGAGTGATGTTAAAACCGTAAACTTAAATAAATTTATCCTAACACGATGCCTCTCTCTTCAGTATTTATTGCATGAACTTTTTGTTTTCTCTCATATTCTGAAAGCAGCAGAATGTTCATATCCTGGTATCTGAGACATGCAGCACCTCGAGTTTTCTCAGTCATAGACTTTTACTTTCTCTTCCCTAGTACAAGTGCTTTCATGGGCTGCATCTGCTGATTCTACAATTACCACTAACACGTATCTGTTTAGGATGCACAGAGAAATAATTTTCCTAAAGTCCAAGTATCCTTTAGAACAGGCTGCTAATTAGAATTTTAACTGGGTGAAATTAAAGGTAAACACTATTAACTAAAACAACGGAGATTCTAGGTATTTTCCCCTCAAAATGAACACGACCTTATCAACTGCTATGGCAGAATATATTAATATTTTAATTATTTAATATAAAACATATATAAAGAAACCCCTAAAGTCTAGTACTATGTCCTCCAGGTTAACAGGAAAAACCACTTTGTATAATGATAGTGGTCAAGTTCTCAAGAAAAAAATTAATACAGCATTTTAACAACCTACATGGTCTTCCATATGTAGCAGCAATGAGTATTAATTGCAAAACTGCATATCTTGAAGAGCAGTCAAAAAATGCAAATTTGCCTCTTCAGAAATAAACCTATAAGGAAAAATGACGCCTTCTTCAAAATTCCACAAATGAAAAAGAACAACAACAAGAATGTAAGCTCCACAGGGCAGGTATTTTTGTCGATTCTGTGCTCTGTTATATCCTCAGTGCCTAGAACAGAGCATGGCATATAGTAGGTGCTCAATAAATGCATGGTGAATGAATGTTTTAACAATAAAGTTTGATTAGAAATTTACCATATTAAAAAAAAAAAAAAGAAAGAAATTTACCATATTAGAAGTGCCCCTGACAGGCAATGGATCAAAAGGAAACAAAAAAGCTACATAAAATTGTGCATCTTAAATTGATTCTGAAACAAAACGAGTAAACCTAATTCTTCTCAGTTTTCAGTTGGTTACTACTGTTTTAAAACAGAAACACCAAGTATCGGGATATACTTAATATCTAAAATGTCACACTTCACTTATCAAGTACTGTACCAATCTACAGACCGTAGCTTTCTCATTCCTGCTTATGACCCTTAATGTTTATTATTTTCTAATATCCCTTTGGTTGCAAGTAACAGAAAGCAAACTCCAACAAACTTAAGCAGAAAACAGGGGAGTGAAGAGTGATTGGGAGGATTCTGGGGTGGTTGATGGGCTTGTAGAGCAGCCAGTTCAGGGGACCCTGGGGACTGGAAGGAACATCTTTGCCATACGGATATGGTCTCTTTCTGAATGTCTGTTTCATTCGCTCTGATTTTTTCCATGAGGTTGGAATCACGGTTGCAAGCATCAGCAGGAGTCCTCCTATCCTTCTCTCCTGAGAGAAAGTCTGTCTTTCTAGATTCCAACTAGAAAGATCTCAGTGGTGGTGGTGGTTTAGTCGCTAAGTCGTGTCTAACTCTTGCGACCCCATGGACTTGCCAAGCTCCTCTGTCCATGGGATTCTCCAGGCAAGAATACTGGAGTGGGTTGCCATTTCCTTCTCCAGAGCTTGGGTGACATTCCCATCTCTTGGGCCAAGCTCTGTGACCAAGGAGCAAGGGGGAGGTCATAGGAGGATTTGGCAGCTCTGCTTTAGAACACGTCAGCAGTATGAGAGGGTACAGTGATTCCCCAGGAGTGGAGCACATTCTCACGTGATAGTGAATGCCATTCATAATGGAAATTAGAGCTCTGGTTTGAAGCCTTCTGTGGGCCAGCCCTACAAGGCTTTTACTTTCAAATTCGCATTCACCTTAGTCTGTTACTTAAGGATTCCTGTTGTCCAGGGACTAATTAGCTGAATTAGACCTACATTATTAAAATGAGATAACAGTAGTTTCATTTGAATTAAAAAGGCCAACATAATATTAGTATCTTTCTTTGAGAGCAAAAGACTTTCATCACAACTTAATTAAGGTTAGAACAGCCTGAGGGACCAATGAATACCATTTCCTCCATTTTACCCACTGGCAACTAAAGCAAGATGTCTTATCTATGATCTTAGTTGGTGACGACTTGCTTCTGCTTTAAAGACCAGTGTCTCAACAAATAAGTGCAGTCCACAGACCAGTGTTTGGAATTTGGCTTTACTTTATAAAAATACACAACTTAAATACATATGACACTCTCTATACAAGACATAGACAGCTGTTAACTTTAACATTTTCCATTATTTCAACAGAAAGCAAATACATAAATTACCTCGTAAGAGCAAAGAGTTTCTTTAGAGACTCTGCATTCCTGGGCCAAGGGCAGACCATCCTGCTGGCAATTGCTGCAGGAAGTTAACCCGAACTGTCCAGCTTTCCAATGCTTCATTTCACAACACAGCCTTTATTGCACGGCTTCATATTGCACTGCTTGTCAGACACGATCTAACTCATCCACACCACAAGTTTAAGCTTTCGCCTCCTCTAGAAATGCTTAATGGAAACACCAACATATAAACATTAGTAACTGTCTCTTACAATTGTGCTAGGTACCTATCATGAGAAATATGAACCCCTCTTCCCTTTGCAAAACTTGCAATGGAAGGAGGTTAGCTGCATTTCGCGGCTCAATTTCTCTGCAAAAGTTTCACAAAAATGTAGTCAGACTCAAAGTGAGCTAGACAGAGTGTAGTGGAGAAGGGACTGACATTCTAGGGCCCACTGAAATTGCTCACTGACACCCTGTCAAAGGCAATGTGCACATGCCCCCACCCCTTCTAACATGAGACCGAAATACCTCCTTCCCCCTTGAGATTCTGTCATTGTTCTGTGAGAAATAGGGACTTTATTACTGATTCACAGCAACCAAGGGCTGCCCATTTTCTCTTTCGTTCAGAAATTTAGCTGCCTTATCTATGGCTCACTTAGTGAACAGTAAATTAGGTACTAGTTTACCAGTATAAAGAAATAATTGCCATTTGAGAATTCAATGCCATTAAAAAAAAGTACTAAAGTGAGTTTCCTGAGGTAAATGTGGGCCTTAAAGAACAGAGTGCAATCTACAGAATCAGAGCAATTTATCTTGGGAAGCAGCACAATATCTCCAAGTCTGGACTTTACCAAGCACACATTTATGCAAAGAAATAAAACGACATTACTGAAGTAAGAGACACATTGACAGTTGAGAATATTGATTCAAAAGGAGCCATGAAAGAGGAATGGAGGAACAAAAGAACGGTATATTTTAAAGTTCTTAGGTAGGTTGGCGATTAATTTCAAAAGCCTCCAGGGATTTCTAACAAGTTTTAAAAGTGTTCATTCTTGGTGACTCAGATGCAGAAGCAATGGCTTTTCTTGAATAACAGCTGTTCAAACTTCTTGTTCTTTTTTGAAAAAACAAGATTCTGTATAAAATTTTTCTTAGCCATTGAAATTATTCTGCTAGTTGTTACTTTCACTGATGTATTGTGCAATCCTAACTGGCTGAAGAATTTTAATAAGGTTGAACTAAAAAATATACATTTGTACCAAGAATTTAAATTAATGGGCAGAGGTCTGTTAAATTTTATATGAAGTTACTTTTCACTGCAGATCAGGCTTCATTTCATTCCTTCTTGACATTCTACTCAGGATTATGGAAATCAGAAAAATTCTAGGACCCTGAACCTTTAACTTTCTTTTCCATAAATGAAGTAGTACATGGCCATCCTTAACATTAGTAATCAAGGTGCTGGGAACTGAGCAAGACCTAAGAATCAAGACCAGGCTAAATGTCAACTCACTGATTACATAAAGATATGAATGGAAGAACTAGAGAACTCTCTCTGCTATAACTGTTCATCTGCACAATGTAGCTCAATGAGGTGACCCATCTAGTGTTTAATGACAGTGATGAAAACTGGCACCAGTTTTTATACAGGGCCACATACACAAGTGAGCTGTCATGTCAATGTGGGCTGACACCACCATGCACGGTCCCTCATTCATATGACTCCTAAGTTCTGCCACAAGAACAGATCTATGTTTGTTACTTTAGGCATGATGAAGGCCTACAGCAAAATTAAAGCCCTGAAGAACTTTGGCCTGAGTTTTACAGGCCCAGAAGCTAGTTAAAATTAAAAGGCAAGAGGAAAATCTCACAAAAAATCATATCTCACATCTCAATTTTACTAAGAAAAAAAAGCATTTTTAATATCAAAATGAAAACTCTTACTAGAAAACAATGCTCTGGTTTCCTGACAACCAGCTCAGTGCCGCCCAAAGGCAGCCACACAAAGCGAAGCTGCTCTGGAGAAGGGAAGGGTTCAGAAGCCTGCAGTGGGTTTGAATTAAATGAAAGTGGTTTTTCTTCTCAGGTAGGGTAAGACAAATGCTACTTGGCAATCAGTATGGGATAGCTGTTTAAAATTCACTGATGGCAAAGTTTTATATACTTTAAAGCCCCGATTAGTGCAGCTTGGTCACAGCTAAAAATCTGAGTAATATGAGAGTGATGGTGTTAACGAGCCATGTGGTGACACTATTCTGTGAGCTCTGGAAGGAAGGCCGGTCCTGACACTTGATCTTCATCCATTTCTTGAATACTGAGACAGAGATGATGGCAAGAGAATGAATTTCTCTACGTGAAATTAATTTTAGTAATCTGCAGCTTAAAAGTATTACTGATCAGAAATTTGGAACCTAAACAAAAGTAACAGATTCTTCCTACACACGCCTTAAGATCTCTCCGTCCACCACCAAAGGATCTATACCTGTCTCTGGTCTACCAGGCTCCGGCGAAGGCTGCACAGGACAGAGGAGGCAATAGCCAGAAGGTGGGGATTCAAGAAGAGAGACGTGGCGGTAGATGTGGCCTTAAGAGGCAAGGCAGGAACAGAAGAGTGAAGGGGAACTCACGGGAGGCCCCCTGTTGAGACGCATCCCTGCCTTTCCCACCTGTCATGACAAATGATGCTGTAACAAGGAAAGGCATAAGCCTCCTATGGGGGTTCCCCTAGGGCATCAGACACGCCTGAACCAGGCGGGTCATGCTCTCTGGGGATGTGTGCACAATCCAGTTTGACCTGCAGGCATTTCTGTCTTGGGATCTGACTCCTGACCCCTAGGTGAAGATGTCCCTACAGCTACCAGCACTTCTTTCCATAGCCAGTGAAAGGCCTTAGACCCAGGGGCAGGTCTAGCAGCAGACAGTCTACCAGAACCTGCAGCTACTCTGCTTTCTTAGGACTGGCTGGTCTGTCCCCCAGTGATGGAGAAGGGGAGCTCAGTTCAGGATTGTATCACCTTGTTTCACTTCCGAAGGGCTGCGAAGAGTTCATTCATTAATTAAGCAGACTGATGCTTAAAGTATCACCTAAGAAACTCACTGTAAAGGGGCAACTTTCTTGTGAGGTTACTACACTTTCAGGGGTTTTGCTATGTCTGCTTCCAGTTTTGTTTTTTTTCCTCTGATGATGAATTTTTTTAATAAAGAAAAAGCAAAAGGATCCTCCTATCCTTCTTCCAGAAACTTCGTGGACTTTCCTGAGCAAAGTGCCTAAGTGATGCTATACCAACAAAGCTTACCAACTCATAAGAAAAAAAAAAATCTATCACTATTCAGAAATAGAAAATGAATGATAGTGTAAGTGGCACTCGGTTCTCTTCACTTCGTCTCTCTGTAACATGTCTATGACATGGAAACAGGCACCCAAATTACTGATTTACAAATGACAGCACGTGAGTGAAAAGGGCTGTAAGAATTTTGTGGAGGAAAAAGCCATATTGGCTATTTTACCTCCAGAGAAAGTCTGTTTGGACTCAAGGCCTACACCTGTCTTTTTTCCTTTTTCCTACTTGATGTTTTTCAGGAGGGCTGTTCGGGCATTCACAACCGCTTTGAAGGCATCTTCACTACCAGGTGCTACACATTTGTCAGGGTGAAGCAGCACAGCAAGTTTCCGATATGCTTTATTGACTTCATCCCTGCAAACAAAAAGCAGAGCTCTATGTCAGTAGAGAGGTGAGCCCCCACCCTCTCTGCCCACTGCATTTCAGCTGTTTAGGTAACAGAACACCTCGTGCAGCAAGCATATCTGAAATAATTGTGGTGGTGGTGGTGGTGGTTTAGTCGCTAAGTCATGTCCAACTCTTGCGACCCCATGGACTTGCCAGGCTCCTCTGTCCATGTGATTCTCCAGGCAAGAATACTAGAGTGGGTTGCCATTTCCTTCTCCAGAAATAATCGTGACCCTTTCTCAAAGGTGAGACTAAAGGACTAGGAAACAAACAATGGACAAATATATAACATTCAAGTAGAAAAACAGATAATACAAAGTGAGTATACAAACATGATCAATGAAAATAGACAGTGTTTAGCACCTCACAGGCGCTTGGCCCTCAGCAAATAATTGCTGATGGAAGCAATGAGGACAAGAGGACATCAGGGCAGGCCCCCCTGGAGGAGGACTCTGCAAGAAGATGAGGTTCAGGAATTGATCCAGTGATGGGAAATTCAGAGCAGCAGGGAGAGAACTGGCAGAGGCCAGGAAGGGAATGGAGACCCGGCATGTAGTTCCAGAAGGAAACAGCAGACAAAGTCAGCCAGGGAGCCAGGTCAGCAAGGGAAAGGTCAAAACAACAAAAAAGCTGAATTTGATACACAATAGTAAAAGTAATAGTAGTAGTTCAGTTGTGTCCGACTCTTTGTGACCCTATGGCCTATAGCCCACCCGGCTCCTCTGTCCATGGAATTCTCCAGGCAAGAATACTGGAGTGGATAGCCATTCCCTTCTTCAGGGGATCTTCCCCACCCAAGGATCAAACCCAAGTCTCTTGCATCTCTTGCATGGGCAGGCAGATTCTTTACCAATGTGCCACCTGGGATGGCAAAAGCCACCAATTAACTTTATGCTACAAGGTCATCTGAATTCTATCAGGTGTTTAAAGCATCCTCAGTAACGCCTGTGAAGTCAAGGATGACCAATAACTGTCTCCTTCTTCCCATCTCCTCTTCTCTTCTGAACCTGAAGACATGCCATGAGACCAAAATGGAGAAGAGATACTTAATGTTGTTGATGCTGATAAGGCAGTTTTGAGATGTACTTTTTTCTTTTCTGGGGATCGAGGTGAAAAAGTAGAAAGGGAGAAGCATAGGGAGGAATGCTATGGTACAAAATAAAAAGATCTGAGAACCCCAATAATATGCATAGTAACAGTATTATTATAGAGTTAAAAGTGAGATAACAATTGAGAGTTCTTAGGAGAGTAGATGGGGAAGGCAATGGCACCCCACTCCAGTACTCCTGCCTGGAAAATCCCATGGACGGAGGAGCCTGGTAGGCTACAGTCCATGGGGTCGCGAAGAGTCGGACACGACTGAGCAACTTCACTTTCACTTTTCACTTTCATGCATTGGAGAAGGAAATGGCAGCCCACTCCAGTATTCTTGCCTGGAGAATCCCAGGGATGGGAGCCTGGTGGGCTGCCGTCTATGGAGTCACACAGAGTTGGACACGACTGACGTGACTTAGCAGCAGCAGCAGCAGGAGAGTAGATTCCAAGAATTCTAATCACAAGGAAAAAAACTTTTTATTTATCTCTATGAGATGATGGATGTTCACTAAACTTATTTCGGTAATTATTTCACAATGTATGTAAGTTAAATCATCATGCTATGCACCTTAACCTTATACAGTGTTGTATGTCAATTATATTTCGATAAGACTGGGGAAAAAGTTACATAATCATACTAGGTAATGATTTATTTCTTTCATGAAGAGTAGTGATTGTATTTCTTTTTCTCCAAAATAATTATTTTGGCTAAAATAAAATAATTTAATATAAACAGACACAGATGAGGAACTACAATGATTTTTGGAAGACAGAGAAAGAGTCAGAGACAGGCAGGGTTCAGGGTCAGGAATCAATTTTACCACTAACTCCTGGAGTCCCTGACTGTGTTTTTAGTTTCCCTGAGTCCCACTTTTCCCACTTATGAAATGAAGCGTTTCAACAAGTTGATTGCTAACATTCTTTCTTTTTTCAAAAATTCTATGCTTTAAGAATTCTCTTTTGTGATAATATGTATATATATTTGAGGTTACATTTGTTTCTAGACTCTTGGTCAACAAAAGCAGAGCATACCATTTCAAAAGGTACTCACACAATATACACAGGACATAGTTCCCACATTAGGCAACTGTGCCCTCTATTTTCCTTCTTTGGTATTCACTTAATTCAGTGAAGGAGTAGTGTTAAGTAATCTATTTCTTCATATTTCTAGCCCATTACAAGAAGATATCACACTATATTCTGATGACTGAATCTTTACAGCAGAAGGCAGCACTAGTATCTGAGAGCACTGCTTACCTCGAGGCCCCAGGTTTGACTCCCAACATGTCCCAACTGTCCTTACTACTTCGAATTCTGCGAATGGTGTCTGCTTGTTCTTTGGTGAAACTAGCACTGCTATTTGTGTTAGGACGTTTTCCGCCATTTTCACATAAATCAACTATGGATATATAAAAGGTCTGCAAAAAGAAAACACAGCTCAGAGGAGAACTGATTTGGGGAAAATAGGAATTCTTTCCAGGCATCAACTTAAAGAATTTTAATATATCCCAATAACTTAAAATTCACAATAAAGCAAACATACCTTTTTTCTTTTATACTAATACATATATGTAGAACATATATGTATATTATATATATATTTAGGCACACAAAAAGCATAAGAATTTAAATGGCTTATGATCCTACTCTCAGATAGTCATACTTGAAATTAAAAACTAGTATACAAATATTATTAGAAAAATTCAAATAGTAGAAAAAGTATAAAATGAAAACTGTCTCCCGGCCCCTCCAGTTCCTCTCGTTGGGGTAAACCATTGTTCATACATTTTTTCAGTATCCTTCCAGAATAATTTTCTCTGAGTACCAGTACACATATCCAAACACTAAGTATTTACATAAAAGAGAGCAGATTAAACACACTGCTGAGCACCTTGTAACTTTTTTCACATAATAATAAATCTTAGAATCTTTCTCTAGCTGCATATAGACACTTTCTTCCTCCTTTTAATGACTGTTCAGTATTGCACGGTGTGACTGACTGTACTCATAATTTATTCAATCAACTCCCTATTCTTGGACAGGTCAATTGTTTCCAGTTTTGTGTCACACACTGTGTCACACAGTGCTTTAGGGAATATTTTTTTATGAGTACATATCTCTGCACACTTGTGGGCATACTGTTTCAGAATAAATTTCTGAAAGCAAAACTGCTGAATAAAAGTGTATGTGCATTTTTCTTTTGGATTTTGACAACTGTCATACAAAAAGGCTATACCAGTTTATACTCCCATCACAGTGAATGGGAATGCCTACTTCCCCATACTCTTTTCAATATTGGGCATTATTATATATCTTCATTTTTGCCAGTCTGATGTTATCTCACAATTTTTATTTCCATTCCTTTAATTATAAGGGAGGTTGTATATCTTTTCATATGCTTATAGGTCTTTTCTTATTCTGTAAACTGTTAGTACTTTTTCCTATTTTATGTTTTTCAAAGTGAAAATTATTTTGTGATCCTGCTCATATTTCATGCCTGTGCACCACTGTTGTTGTTGAATAACTTCACTCAAAATACTAATTTAATACATTATCAGTTCAGCTCAGTCGCTCAGTCGTGTCCGACTCTTTGCGATCCCATGAATCACAGCATGCCAGGCCTCCCTGTCCATCACCAACTCCCGGAGTTTACCCAAACTCATGTCCATCAAGTCAGTGATGCCATCCAGCAATCTCATTCTCTGTTGTCCCCTTCTCCTCCTACCCTCAATCCCTCCCAGCATCAGGGTCTTTTCCAACGAGTCAACTCTTCGCCTGAGGTGGCCAAAGTATTGGAGTTTCAGCTTTACCATCAGTCCTTCCAATGAACACCCAGGACTGATATCCTTTAGGATGGACTGGTTGGATCTCCTTGCAGTCCAAGGGACTCAAGAGTCTTCTCCAACATCACAGTTCAAAAGCATCAATTCTTCGGCGCTCAGCTTTCTTCAGAGTCCAACTCTCGCATCCATACATGACCACTGGAAAAACCATAGCCTTGACTAGACAGACCTTTGTTGGCAAAGTAATGTCTCTGCTTTTTTTAATATGCTATCTAGGTTGGTTATAACTTTCCTTCCAAGGAGTAAGCGTCTTTTAATTTCATGGCTGCAATCACCATCTGGAGTGATTTTGGAGCCCCCCAAAATAAAGTCTGACACTGTTTCCACTGTTTACCCATCTATTTCCCAAGAAGTGATGGGACCAGATGCCATGATCTTAATTTTCTGAATGTTGAGCTTTAAGCTAACTTTTTCACTCTCCTCTTTCACTTTCATCAAGAGGCTTCTTAGTCCCTCTTCACTTTCTGCCATAAGGGTGGTGTCATCTGCATATCTGAGGTTATTGATATTTCTCCCGGCAATCTTGATTCCAGCTTGTGCTTCTTCCAGCCCAGCATTTCTCTTGATGTACTCTGCATATAAGTTAAATAAGCAGGGTGACAATATACAGCCTTGATGTACACTGACTATATAGAGCTTCTCCATCTTTGGCTGCAAAGAATATAATCAATCTGATTTTGGTATTGACCATCTGATGATGTCCATGTGTAGTCTTCTCTTGTGTTGTTGGAAGAGGGTGTTTGCTATAACCAGTGTATCCTCTTGGCAAAACTCTGTTAGCCTTTGACCTGCTTCATTTTGTACTCCAAGGCCAAATTTGCCTGTTACTCCAGGTTATCTCTTGATCTCCTACTTTTGCATTCCAGTCCCCTATAATGAAAAGGACATCTTTTTGGGGTGTTAGTTCTAAAAGGTCTTGTAGGTCTTCATGGAACTATTCAGCTTCAGCTTCTTTAGCATCACTGGTCAGGGCATAGACTTGGATTACTGTGATACTGAATGGTTTGCCTTGGAAACGAACAGAGATCATTCTGTCGTTTTTGAGATTGTATCCAAGAACTGCGTTTCAGACTCCTGTTGACTATGATGGCTACTCCCTTTCTTCTAAAGGATTCCTGCCCACAGTAGTAGATATAATGGTAATCTGAGTTAAATTCACCCATTCCAGTCCTAGTTCGCTGATTCCTAAAATGTCAATGTTCACTTGCCATCTCCTGTCTGACCAGTTCCAATTTGTCTTGACTCATGACCTAACATTGCAGGCTCCTATGCAATATCGTTCTTTACAGCACTGGACTTTAGTTTCATCACCAGTCACATCCACAACTCGGTGTTGTTTTTGTTTTGGCTCTGTCTCTTCATTCTTTCTGGAATTATTTCTCCACTCATCTCCAGTAGCATACTGGGCACCTACCAACCTGAGGAATTCATCTTTCAGTGTCCTATCTCTTTGCCCTTTCATACTGTTCATGGGGTTCTCAAGGCAAGAATACTGAAGTGGTTTGCCATCCCCTTCTCCAGTGGACCACATTTTTTCAGAACTTCCCACCATGACCCGACCGTCTTGGGTGGCCCTACATGGCATGGCTCATGGTTTCATTGAGTTAGATAAGGCTGTGGTCCATGTGATCAGATTGGTTAGTTTTCTGTGATTGTGGTTGTCGTTCTGCCTGCCCTCTGATGGAGAAGGATAAGAGACTTATGGAAGCTTCCTGATGGGAGAGACTGACTGAGGGGGAAACTGAGTCTTGTTTTGATGGGCAGGGCCATGCTCAGTGTATCTTTAATTCGATTTCTGCTCTATACAGTCAGTGAAAACAAGACTGGGAGCTGACTGTGGCTCATATCGTGAACTCTTTATTGCCAAATTCAGACTTAAATTGAAGAAAGTAGGGAAAAACCACTAGACCATTCAGGTATGACCTAAATCAAATCCCTTATGATTATACAGTGGAAGTGAGAAATAGATTCAAGGGATTAGATCAGATAGACAGAGTGCCTGAAGAACTATGGATGGAGGTTCGTGACACTACAGGAGGCAGTGATCAAGACCATCCCCAAGAAAAAGAAATGCAAAAAGGCAAAATGGTTGTCTGAAGAGGCCTTATAAATAACAAATAACTGAGAAAAGACGTGAAAGGAAAAGGAGAAAAGGAAAGATATATCCATTTGAATGCAGAGTTCCAAAGAATAGCAGGGAGAGATAAGAAAGCTTTCCTCAGTGACCAGTGCAAAGAAATAGAGGAAAACAATAGAATAGAAAAGACTAGTGATCTCTTCAAGAAAATTAGAGATACCAAGGGAACAATAAAGGACACAATAAAGGACAGAAATGATGTGGACCTAACAGAAGCAGAAGATATTAAGAGGTGGCAAGAATACATAGAAGAATTATACAAAAAAGATCTTCATGACCCAGATAACCGTGATGGTGTGATCATCCACCTAGAGCCAGATACCCTGGAATGCAAAGTCAGGTGGGCCTTTGGAAGCATCACTACAAACAAAGCTAGTGGAGGTGATGGAATTCCAGTTGAGCTATTTCAAATCCTTAAAGAAAGTGCTGCACTCAATATGCCAGCACATTTGGAAAACTCAGCAGTGGCCGCAGGACTGGAAAAGGTCAGTTTTCATTCCAATCCCAAAGAAAGGCAAGGCCAAAGAATGGTCAAACTATTGCACAACTGCACTCATCTCACACATTAGCAAAGCAATGCTCAAAATTCTCCAAGCCAGACTTCAACAGTATGTGAACCGTGAACTTCTAGATGTTCAAGCTGGATTTAGAAAAGGCAGAGGAACCAGAGATCAAATTGCCAACATCTGCTAGATCATCAAAAAAGCAAGAGAGTTCCAGAAAAACATCTACTTCTGCTTTATTGACTAAGCCAAAGCCTTTGACTGTGTGGATCACCACAAACTTGTGGAAAGAGATGGGAATACCAGATCACCTGACCTGCCTTCTGAGAAATCTATATGCAGGTCAGGAAGCAACAGTTAGAACTGGACATGGAACAACAGACAAGTTCTGTATTGGGAAAGGAGTACTTCAAGGTTGTATATTGTCATCCTGTTTATTTAACTTATATTCAGAGTACATCATGAGAAATGCCAGGCTGGATGAAGCACAAGCTGGAATCAAGATTGCAAGGAGAAATATCAATAACCTCAGATATGCAGATGACACCACCTTTATGGCAGAAAGCAAATAAGAACTAAAGAGCTTCTTGATGAAAATGAAAGAGGAGAGTGAAAAAGTTGGCTTAAAACTCAATATCCAGAAAACTAAGATCATGGCATCTGGTCCCATTACTTCATGGCAAATAGATGGGGAAACAATGGAAACTGTGATAGACTTTCTTTTGGGGGGCTCCAAAATCACTGCAGATGCTAACTGCAGCCATGGAATCAAAAGATGCTTGCTCCTTGGAAGAAAAGTTATGAGCAACCTAGATAGCATATTAAAAAGCAGAGACATTACTTTACCAACAAAGGTCTGTCTAGTCAAAGCTATGGTTGTTCCAGTAGTCATGTATGGATGTGAGGGTTAGACTATAAAGAAAGCTGAGCGCCGAAGAATTGATGCTTTTGAACTGTGGTGTTGTAGAAGTCTCTTGAGAGTCCCTTGGACAGCAAGGAGATCCAACCAGTCCATCCTAAAGGAAATCAGTCCTGAATATTCATTGGAAGGACTGATGCTGAAGCTGAAACTCCAATGCTTTGGCCACCTGATGCAAAGAACTGATTCATTAGAAAGACCCTGACACTGGGAAGGATTGAAGGCAGGAATAGAAGGGGATGACAGAGGATGAGGTGGTTGGATGGCATCACTGACTCAATGGACATGAGTTTGAGTAGGTTTCGGGAGTTGGTGATGGACAGGGGAACCTGGTGTGCTATAGTCCATGGGGTTGCAAAGAGTCAGACACGACTGAGTGACTGAATTGGCTTTAAATTGACTTATCTTCTCATCCCTCCATTTTTTAAAAATCTGCCTTCCCCCTTTTCTTAAATTTTTGGCTGCACCCCGAGGAATGTGGGACCTTAGTTCCTTGACCAGGGATCAAACCTATGACCCTTACATTATAAGGTGGAGTCTTAAGCACTGGACCACCAGGGAAGTCCTTCCTCCTTTTTTATTCAGCTATTTCTATAGTTCTTATTATCATCTAAATTTTTTTCTTTCTCTTTGACTCCTCTCTCTTATCTCCAGTATCAGCTAATCGACTTGGCAACCTAAACAAGAAACCTTGACATGTGAAAAAGGGTGTCAAAGGAAAAGCTGCTAGATACCAAGAAAAGAGAAGTGTTGACTTAGTTTTAGTCTATCTTAATATTACTCTGTGCTAACAGTGTAAGATAAAACCAAGTTCCTTCCTGACATAAAGTGTCTATTAAGTAATAGGAAACAAAGAAAGTATTTATTAAATTGAAGCAGCAGGAAAGTACTACTTCTAAGTACTTACAGAATTGTTTTATTATACTATTAGTCTTTTTTTTTTTAAGAAAACAGGCTAATTATTCACTAATTCTACCCTAGATTTATCTAAAAAATAAAAGCAACCTAATAGGGAACATAGTTCCCAGCTGTTTGCCTGTGCTTATGTATCAGTAAGGTTTTCTACTAGTCTATAAATTAATCTAAAACAGAAACCCTCACAAATTTCTGAGGGATTTATTCATAACAAGTAATGTAACAGAAGGCCAGCTGTGGTGTGATATACAGGATACTGGAATTCAAGTCAAAAGTCTCTTCAAACTCCTTGTCTGAGTGCCAGCCATGTTGGAATCATGGGAACATCCTGCTAAACAACTGTAAAAGTAAATATATGAGGCAACTCTTTTCAGGTAGTGGACAAAAAGTGTAAGACTGCTCCTTTGTCTTCTACCCGAGTCCATTTCCTACCATGTCAGAGTGCTGGGGTCTAAGAAGATACAAAGTCCCACTGAGCTAAGGAGGCAGAGGTCAGAGCCTGAGGATGCTGAAGTGGCTGCAATCTGCAGAGCAGGGCCTTGGATAGGAGGGAGCCGGGCCCCAAGAAGTCCATGTGGGGGTTCCCTACTAGTTTGTAGCTGACACATAGGCTCTATATGCATAGGATGAAATCACCTGAGGCTTACCAGATAACAACTATTGAGAGATTGAGAACAGAACTGACTAGTGGTGTGAGGAGAAGAGCCACCCTGGGGATACTAGAGTTTGGCTCTAGTGAGAGAGACTCACCGGAGACAGACTCATGAGAGGGAGAAAGACTAACTAGTGATAGAGACTCATAAGAGTTAAGGTAGAGAGACATCCTCATTAATACCCCTGGCATCCAGCTGAGATGCCACAAAAAGGATATGCCTTAAGGAGTTAGACTCAGCCTAACAAAACCTAAAACCAAGAATTGACAAGATCCGCAAGAGGGACAGAATTTGGAGGCTCAGTCCTGCTAAATTAGGTTAGAAGAGTTTTGAACACACTTTGGGCTTCCTTCTGAGCCTTACTACTAAAGCAAAAGAGTGAAGCCTACACAAATTCAGTGTAATCTGTCAGTAACTGAACTGCCTGCTGAACCAAAAATCAACATTCCTCTGAGGAAAATAAACAAACTGAGTCTCTACAGTGTATTATCTACAATGTCTGATGTTAAATAAAAAGTCACTACTCATACAAAGAAACAATAATGTGATCCATAGTCAGGAAAAAAGTAGCCCATAGAAACTGAACCCAAAATGGTTCAGATATTGAACAAAAATTGTAAAGCAGCTATTATATATTTCAAAGAGATAACAAAAAATATGTTCGAAATGAGTAAAGATAAAATCTCAGCAGAAAACTGGGAACTGTACAAAAGAACCAAATGCAAATTCTAGAACTGGAAAGCAGTGAATTGAAAATTTCACTCCGTAGATTTAACAGATTGAAATCAGATCAATAGAGATTATGCAATCTAAAAGACAGAGGAAAAATGAAAAAAAAAGAATAGTCTCAAGGACTACAGGAAAACTCAAATATCTTTAAAGTGCTGAAAGACATTTAAGAGTTAAGTGCTTAAAAAAAAAATAAGAGTTAAGTGCTGAAAGACATTGAGACAGTTACTTATACCTCTTGGACAAATCACTACTACTCTTGGATGTCTTATATCTGAAATGAGAATGATACCTGCCACATGTTGTTAAGAGTCTAAAATGAGATGAAACAGGTAAACTTCTCCAGAATTGTAAAGTACTATTCAAATGGTTAAGTAACATTACTGTACACATATTGGTACATACTCACATAGGTCTATGTACTCAAAGGACTAGAAACGTGGCAAACCAACATCAACCATGTTTGGTCTTGAAATAGAAGCTACTGATGCCAAATTCAGTCTGTCAGCCAAGGATGAAACCTGTCTTCTAGTAGGAGGGATGACATCTTGTGAGAAGGAGATTCAGTACAAGAGATTAAATGAAATCCCACTCGGTAATTAAGAAAAACTCTTTATAGTATAGCTACATTATTTGAAATGCTAAAAATTCCTAAAATATCAGATATATTCATAAGCAAAAATACATTATTCATGCCACCACTTACTTCCAAATGAAACTAGAATTAAGAGTTGACTCTAATTTGTTGTTTAGGCTCCCCTTAAAATGATTCAAGATTATTAAGTTCTAAAAGTGAGTGAAAGTTGCTCAGTTGTGTCCGACTCTTTGCGACCCCATGGCTACACAGTCCATGGAATTCTCTAGGCCAGAATACTGGAGTGGGTAGCCTTTCCTTTCTCCAGGGTATCTTCCCAACCCAGGGATCGAACCCAGGTCTCCGCACTGCAGGCGGATTCTTCACCAGCTGAGTCACAAGGGAAGCCCAAGTTCTAAAAAGTGACCATCTATTCAGGAGATGGAACTTTTACATATGACTCACTGATTCTGCAATGATAATCTCCTGGTCTCTAACTGCACCCCCAAGGGCTACAAAATAAGATTATATTAGCTATGGCAAGGCTATTTTGTCAAAGTAATACTTTCATTTGATTATGCATATAAATGTAACCAAAGGTGGTTTTAAAGAAAATCTTTCTCCCATTTAAGTATATAATAAGTGTTATTAAACTTGATGATCAGAGGAATCACCTAGAGAGGTTTTTCAAAATCGAGATTCCTCAGCTCCAACAAGACATTACGTTTCCAGTGGACCTGGAGCCCAGCAATTTGTATTTTGAAGAATTCCCCCGACAATTCTGATCTAAAAGAGACAGCAGGCAAATCTCCCTCTCTCTCTCTCACACACACACACACACACTCATTCTTACCCTCTCTCCCATTCTCTCTTTCTTACCTGTTTCTGAAAAGAAACAGCTTATTCTAATAAGAAACTTCTATTACTTTCTGCTCCTCATAATTAAGCTAAAATTTGGTATGGTCAGATACCAAAACTCTAAAACAAATAAAATGCTAGGTTACCTGGAACATCTCATTGATTCCTTCTCCAGTTTGAGCCGAAGTTTCAAAGTACAGGAATCCTTTGCTTTCAGCCCAAAGACGTCCTTCACTTTCATCAACACAGCGGTGCTTAGTACAGTCGATCTGAAATTGAGAGTTGGAGGCAGCGGGGAAGAGAAGATTCCAACCTTGTCCCTCTAGAATAGGCCCAGTGAGGTCTCTGTCAACCCTCTGCTGAGGCAAAAACTATTCTTAAGCGAACCCCAGCACCAGTATATAAAATTACCAGGACCAAAAAATCACTAGCACTGAATATGGACTGATTTTCTGTGGCAAATGCCTGCTACCAGAACTTTCTCCTGAGAAAGCTGCTGCTGCTCATCTCTATGGAAGTCGGCTTCATCACGTTTGCCACACATGGTCTGCTTCCCCACTTTTCCACAGTCCATGTTGCACCTAACTTCTGCCCTCTCCTCCAATCAGGTCAGAGTCTGACTACTAGGCTCCACCTCTCCTGCTCCCTCACCAATATCCATCCCCAAACATGGCACCAGAAAAAAATGGATAACATGCCAGGTTTTGTTTTTTAATTGTTTTTGTTTTTAGGAACATATGTTTTGAAAAGCTGCTGATTCTTAACATTACAGATTACATAATTTTTTTCTTCTTATTTATTCCCCAAAACTCAGAGCTGCACTCTTCCCATAATGAACCTAGAAAGTTGAGCATTTCATTTCCAAAACAGTTACCTTGTTGGCACACACTGCAAATACAATATTTTCCATGTTTCCATGAGGTCCAAGATCTTGCTTCATTTCTGCCAGCCATGCATCAAGGGCATCAAAGGAATCCTTCTGCCCAACATCATAGACCAGTATCACACCCTGTGTGTCCTTGTAAAACTCATTACGAACCTTCACGTAAAAAAAAGATGCACAACATGTAGATACTATGATTTTATAAAAGTATATCCCGCAGTCGCTAACTTAGCAAAGTGTGTTCTTGTGTGTATTCATACTGTTTACTAATTGTACTACTGGTCTTTGGAGGGCTTTTTATAAAATCAAAATAACATGATTAAAAAAAATAAAGTCTATTTGAATAGAAGGACTTGTAATGGATCTAACAGCCTTCTACCCTGTCCATCCTCACCTCCAGTTCTACTCCCCAGAGGCAATCTTTAATTGTTATCAGTAGGCCTTAAGAAGAACACAAATTAAATGAAGTTCTTCTTAGGAAGAACTAGGAAGGTGAGTGAACAATTAAAAAGAACTTAAGGCAAAAATGACACCAGTCTCAGCAACAAGGTATAGCCATTTACATATCACATCTAAAACCTGGCTTTTCCCAGGAAGCTGGACAGAACCTCCCTAGGACAGCTGGGTCTCACCAGCAACTCTGGAACTCTGAGTGTCTGTGTAATATGCAGTGGAAAACAGCACGAGCCCTGGAATCAGATCTGGGTTCACACTTACTTACTAGTTGTGTGATCTTGGGCAAGTCCCTTAACCTCTCTGAGTCTCAGGTTCCTCATCTGTAAAATGGGGATAATAGTACTTACTTCACAGGGTTATTATGAGGAGTAACTGAGATCATGAAGGCAGAGCCCCTAAATGGTGCCTGGAAAACAATGTGTATCAGCACCTTCTCCCTTCCTTCCTTGCATTCATTCTCTGAGGTTCTTATCAGCCATGGCAACTCGCCTCTGGGGCGTATCTTCAGTTCTGGGAAGAGGGAGCAGGAAGTGCAAGGCGTGAAGTGGGAGAGGCCTAACGAGACAGGTTAGGTGGATGAGAAGTCACACTGACAGACTGGGGATTTCAGGCCAAAATTCCAGTAAGAATCTTGACAGAAGCCATGTATTATGTGTTCTTTTCAGAAAAGCACTGAGACCTTTGCTGAATATGTGGTAAGAATGAAGACCTCTCTCACACATCTGGCATGAAGTATCTACGGGTTTCTGAGCATGGAGAGACACCTGGACCGAGGATGTAAGTGCCTCTTAACTTATAGAAACATAGGAAGCTATCCCCTAAAATCCAACCCAACAAAATCAATGAATTTAACATGATGAAGACCAGGAAGTCGTCCTTTCCCCTCAGTACTCAGGGTCCTCAGCCCTCCTGCAGCAGCTACAGTGGGGCTTTCCCTTCTGTCCGGAATCCTGTTGCCTGGCTCCCACATCACATTCTCCAGGCTCTTTAACTCATCTCTCTTCCACCAACTCCTCTTCGCTCCACTGCTCCCACTGCAGTCTGCTGCCACAGTTCCCCAAACCCTGTTCTGGGCCCTCGTCCTTTCTTTGTTATCCTTCTTCCCAACTCAGCAAAGTCAACCACTTGCACAGTTTCAACTGTGAGAACCTCCAAGACGAGTCCTTTCCTCTGTGCTTCCTGCATTTCCAAGTAGCTCTAGACTCCCAGCTGAATGTCCTATTGGAACCTCTATATAACAGGAAACCCTCCACCTCATTCCTTCCTAAACTTTTCCTTCTCTTGAACTTCTAGTGGTGAAAGCAGCACACCCTTCTCTGAGTCACTTGGGTTGAGAGCCTGGTGTTAGCCTCTGCTGCTCTCCTGTCCCTCTGCTCAAACAATTCTGCAGAAGCCGCCTCCACCATGCTTCCTGCACTATCACTTCCTTTCCATTTTCGTTGCCAATATTATCTCTTGATTGCACAACTGCTCAAGTCTTCTAAGCAATCTCCCTAGCAACACTATATACTGTGCATATGTATCTTTTTTAAAGCCCTGGCTCAAAAATTCTTTCCTGTTTCTCTAGTGCACAATCTCCAAAGTTCAAACCCTTATAATTGACATTAACACTTTCTGAACAGTCCTCCACCCACTTTTCAGCCTTATCCCCCAACCTATCTCCAGTACTTCAAACTGGATAATCTCATTCCCCAAACCTGTCCTATGCCCTCCTAATTCCACTGGAAATAGACATCTCTTCATCTTCCACTTTCCAAGGTCAAGCTATAATACTGTATCTTTCATGTAGCTTTTTCTTCTCCCTTCCTCACCATCTGGTCCCCTCCACCTGCAAAACGGAATGCAATCTCTATATCCCCTGGAATAGCACAGCATTTTGTACTTCTAAGAGCACTCCCGTCACTACCTGTCTAGTTTCATAGTTAGTGGCATAGCTAGCTATCTTCCCCACTAGACTATAAGTGGTGTGAAGGCACACATCACCTTTGTGTCAGTCCCTGGGCCTAGCAGGTATAAATATTTGACACATATTTGTTTAATCAAATGGCTGAATGTGCTACAGTGAAGAACAGAAGTAGAGGCCAAAGAGGAAAAGAAAACTGCAAGATGCAGATCACGCTGTCCAAAGTGAGATTTGTGTATAAAAAGAGAATTTAAAAAACTCGATGGATTTCTCTTTCAAAGGACTCAAACTCAACTCTGGGTTCAGCAAGTATCTACCTATGTTACCTTGAGTGAGTGACTTTATTACCTTAAAGCTGAGTATCCTTAGGTCCAAATGGATGACTCAATGGTGCCCTAGAATCCTATTATTCTTATCTCCCCAAAGAGCGTCTACTGTGAGTCCTGGCAGACTTAATCCACAGTTTAATTAAATAGGATACTATGGGAACTGGGATTATTGAACTTTAAAGCAGAGATGGCACACTTTTCAAGCTTGTAGGTTAGAGAAAGCTGTTAGTTTAATATCACTCAGGCCTCAGAAAGTTATTATAGACCCACTAACTCATTCCAATAAACCCCAGGATTTGGTTGTGTGCACGAGGGGAAGCAAGACTCATGGCAAGACACAGGCCACCTTTCTCTTGGGCGGGAGTCCCCTCTCTGACATTTTCCACTGAGATCACTATCAGACACACTTAGGGACCATATTTTCTCAGCAGGCCCTTTGGGTTAACCTGGTGGGTTGGACTGGTGATAATGGAAGCTTCAACACAGAACAGGTGCTAAGGATCTGAGGAAGCCTGGGACCCCAAGGATGAATGTGGGTGCTTCCCTAGGTATGTGCTGAGCAAAGGGGTATGCTGGTCAGTTGAGGGCTTAGAAAGATGATAGCTTTGGCTTTGTTAAAAACGAGGGTTTGAGCTATAGACAGCAAACATTTGACAAAAAAGGTGAGATCAAGGCTATTTTGGAGAAAAGGTACTTCAGAAGTGATGATTTTAAGGCACTTCTATTAATTATACTTCTATTTCTGTGAGATGCTAAAAAAAAGCTATTGAAATTGTGAGTTGCGTTTGTAAGATTCTAGTGTCTAATGACAGAAAGTAACAGAACACCTAGTCTTCTTCACTAGTCAGACAATATCTGGACGGTTGTGTTCAGTTCTCAGCTCCCTATCAGCTCACTAGAGGTTATCCACAAGGGATGGATAAAACATGTTTTTAATATTTAAAAAAATGTTTAAATGAATAATGTTAATAATAACACTAAATGTTTCACTTTGAAAGAAGCAAATTAACAAATATTAGGATGTCTCCTGTAGAAGCACAGACTCAGTCTATGTTGCTTCAAAAACAAGGTGGGAATCAGTGGCAAAAGTCAAAGGAAGGCAGCCTTCACAACAGAGAAGTTGTTAATGTGGAGTTTTTAACTCTAAAGGATTAACTGTGAAGGGGTGAGACCCCATCACTAAAGAAATCACTCTTCAAACTCTTACAGTCTGCACCACTCAAAACTGCCCCATGAATTATACTGTCCCTGGATTCCCACCAACCTACATAACTCTTACTTCTCCATCAACACTCAGTTTAAATACTGCTTCCTTCAACAGGATTTCCTGACTTTCCAGATAAGCTAGGTGTGGGTATTAAGTGCTCCCAAGTATTCTGTCCTTTGTTTAACATGTGTCTTCTCTGACTTGTTTATGTGTCGTGAAAACAGGGGTTGTGTATTCCCAGTCTGCAGCATAGAAACTGGCATGCTGCTATCTGGTAAATGAATGATGGCCATCAATCAGGAATGCTACGGAAAGAAATCCTACGATGACAGAAATCTGGACCACATTGATTCTCAGGCATCTCCTAACTCTCCATTTACGTAACTTTGGTGTAACCTAAGATTAAGATTAACGACAGAGGATGAGATGGCTGGATGGCATCACCGACTCAATGGACATGAATTTGAGTCAACTCCGGGAGTTGGTGATGAACAGGGAGGCCTGGTGTGCTGCGATTCATGGGGTCGCAAAGAATCAGACATGACTGAGCGACTGAACTGAACTGAAGATTAATGTTAGCATTTCTGGTAGTCAGAATCTATGTCAAACTTTGGTCACTGAGAGCCTCCATGCCTTTTTTACTGACAATATTCTATACTTGTGAAATTGATATAACCATTATAAGGCTTCACAATCAAAAGGAATTCATTTTATCTAAATATCTGGGTGTCACAAGATGGAAGATTAAATAGCCATTAAATTACGTTTCCTCTGGCAAGATGAAGTAGATGTACTTTCCTCTATTATTTCCACAAAGCACAAGTAAAATTCCTGGACACTATGTATATATATAAAACACACATAAGAAGACTCTGGAAAGTAGAGAGAAGAAGGCAGACAAGCAAGGGACCTTGGGACTTGAGGAATGACATAGAGGTGAGTTTCCTTGGTTTTCTTTTCCTCATGTATGCAAAATTTAGAGCTGCAGAAGTACAACTTGGAAATACCAATGAGTACAGACCAATAAAAGCCTAACAAAAGGCTCCTCTCTTTAGTAAAAGACCAGGAAAGACTTTACAGGATAACCACTCTCCTCCAAACTGACACCTCAGGAAAACACTATCTACCTGCACCTACTCAAGCAAAGGCACAGTGGAAATTTTAGAAAAATTACTGAAAAAAAAGAATGACTGAAATAAAAAGTTCAGGAGTTGTGTATGGAGGAGATGGTGGAAAGAATCAATGAAACAGAAGATAATAAAAATTACCTAATCTGAACAACAGAGAGGAAATAAACTTTAAAAAAAAGAAAGAAAAGAAAAAAGAAACAAAAAAGGAAAAGAGCAGAGCCTCAGGAACCAGTGAAGCTATAACAAGATCAGAGTCCAGGAAGGAGAGGATAAATATGGTAGGGCTGAAAAAGTACTAAAGAAATAATAGCTGAAAACTTCCCAAATCTGTCAAGAGATGTAAGCCTATAGATAAAGCAGCTGAGAAAACCCCAAACAGGAAAAACTCAAAGAAATCCATGCCAATAGACATCATAATTAAACCTCTAAAAACTAAAGACAAAGGAAAAAAATCATGAAAGCAGTTAGAAGAAAAAAAAGAAAATGACACCTCTCTGAACCTATTGGTAATTAAGTTAATCTTCCCAATGAATCTCTCGGTCAGAAACCCCATTCTTCCCTGAGAGCATTGAAATTACTGGGGCTAAGAGGCTCAGGGAGTACAAGAGCTGGCGTGAAAACAACAAGTGATAAGGAAATATAAGTAAAGAAAAGGAAAATAATCAAATGATTCTCATATAACATGAAATAACCTTTACACAGTTCAAGAGAAATTAGAGAAAACAGCAAAGTAGGAAGTTTTCTGTGATATGTACTATTTTTCCCATGAAATACAATGCTTAAAACACGGCTGCTTTCTTAATGCAGAGTTGAAACAATTTTACAGTATAAATTTCTAAGTTTAAGATGAAGTGGACCTGATCTTATATTAAAAAAGTAGTGATGAAGTTAAAAAAGTAAGGTGGGGGGAAAAGACATTTCAAATGACAGCAGGTTTCTCATCAGAAACCATGAGGCCAGAGGAAAGAAGCACTGTTTTTCAAATGCTGAAAAAGAAGAAAGAAGAAAATTTGTAACTGAGCAGGACCCCATGGAGCAGTTTTCAGGACAGACTCCTCCCCCATATCCTCTGCTATAGCTCCTCTTTTAAATACCTAGATAATAGTATCTGATGCACACTTCCTGAGCTGTTTTAAAGATGCTAAAACCACCACCAGTGGAAGAAATGAACTACTTAATGACCAAGAGCAAGAAGCACCTGGGGCCTAAGGAAAGAGAATGCCAACCCCTGCCCTGTTACCTCACCATCAACCAATCAGAGAATTGTGCAACAGCTGATGTCATACCCTATGACCCTCCCTCCCTCACCTTTAAAAATGCTTTGACAAAAAACCCTTTAGGAATTTGGGGTTTTGTTCTGTGTTTTAGTAGTTCCCAACTACTTGCTTGGCACCCTACAATAAACACTGTACTTTCCTTCACCGTAACCCATTGTCAGTTGAATTGAATTTACTGTGCAAGGGCAAGTGTACCCAAGTTTGGTCTGGTAACAATATCAACCCAGAATCCCATACCTGCAATTAAAAAAAAAAAAATTCTTCAAGACCAAAGGGGAAACCCAAACATTCTCAATCAAGGAAAACTAAGAGACTCTGTTGCCACCAGACTTACACTAAAAGAATGGCTAAAGGAGTCCTCTAAACAGAAAGGATGAAAGCTGCAGCCTTGGAATGCTAGGGGAGGCACACTAACCGAAAGCACCATAATAACCATTTGTGTGAGTTATTTCACAACAGGAGGTCCTAGTAAGGAACACGCAGCTAAAAAGCCACCACCTACTGGGAGAATTTGGGAAAGGTCAAAAGGAGACAACACGTGTTCTACCACCTCCCAGAATCCTTCTCGCTGGCATCCATTCTGGCTGAATAATGCATGCACCACCAGGAAGGACCCTGAATCAGAAAGACTGGCTAAAGAATATCTGGAAACTAATCCCATCACCATAAAATCCAAGACTGCAAGCCATGTGGCAGAGCAGTCCTCCTGAGTTCCCTTACCCTACCGCTCTCCGCCCAGGCACCCTTTCCCAGTAAAGTCTCTTGCTTTGTGTCAGCATGTGTGTCTCCTCAGTCAATTCTTTTCTGAGTGTTAGACAAGAGCCCCCTTTTTGGCCCTGGAAGGGGCCCCCCTTCCTGCAATAGGAACACAACGAAAGATGAAAAAATAGGGCAAGTAAAAATATGAGTGAATACAATATGCTTTCCCTGTCTCTCATTCTCTAAATTATGTTTGACAGTTAACCAAAAATTAAACACTACTGTGGTTCTCTTGTATGTAGACAAAATATTTAAGATGATTATAAATGGGAGAGGATAAATGGACATAAAAAGAGGAATAGTTTCTACACTCCACTAAAATTGTTAAAGTAATAACAGTAGACTGTGATAACAGGTAGTGTAATAAGTAGAGTGTCCACCAATAAAGCTATGCAGAAAGATTTACTCAAAAACACTATAGACAAATCAAAATAGAATTCAGAAAGCATTCAAGTAACCCACAGAAGACAGGAAAAAGAAAATAGAAATGAAAAATAGAGAACAAAAAATAAAATAGTAGACTTAAGCCCCAACATATCAATAATTACAGAAAAATAAGTGGGCTAAGGACAAAAATTGGCATAATACTTTAAAAAAAAATGAACTATGCATTGTCCTCTAAGAAAGTCACTTCAAATATAAAGATACAAGCAGACTGAAAGTGCAAAGATAGAAAAAGATGTATCATGCAAATATTAATCAAAAGAAAGCAGAAATGTCTATATTAATATCAGATAAAATAGACATTAGGAAGAAAATTATCAGAGACACAGGCGGATAGTATACAATAACAAAATTATATAATAAAGACAAAACAATCCTAAATGTATATGCACCAAACAAGACAGCTGCAAATATGTGAAGCAAAAACTGAAAAGAGAAATAGACAAATCCACAGTTACACTGGAAACTTCAAAACCCCTCTTTTAGCAACAGAACAACTAAATAGAAAAAAAGCAAGGATATAAAAGAATTCATCAACACAACTGACCAAAAGGATCTAATGAATATTTATAGAACATTTTATCTATCAATAGCAGAATACACATTCTTCTTAAGTGCCCACATAACATTTACCAAGACAGGCCACATCCTGAGCCATGGAAAAAAAACTCAATAAATTTTAAAGATTTGAAATCATACCGTATGTTCTCTGATTACAGTATGTTCTCTGAAATCAAACTAGAAATCAGTTAACAGAAAGATAACAGGAATTTCTAAACATTTGGAAACTAAACAACATACTTCTAAATAATCCATAGGTCAAACAGAAAATCTCAAGGGAAATTTTGAAAAGAAGTGTACAAATGAAAATGAAAATACAACATACCAAAATTTGTGGGATACAGCTATGCAGTACTGAGGGGAGAATTTATAATACTAAATTCATACATTAGAAAAGATGAACATCTCAAATCAATAATCTATGCTCCCACCTCAAAAACACAGAAGAAGAAGAGCAGAATAAATCCATAGCAAGCAGAAGGAAGGAAATAATAAAGAAGAAAAGCAGAAATGAAAATGGCCAAACTAGAAAGAGTAAAGAGACTCCTTATGGAAAAAGAAAAACACAAGGAAAGAAACACAAAAGAGAATGGCCATGAAATTCACTTTGAGACTACTGAGGACAGATAAGCAGATGAAAGTAAACGAAGTGAAGCTGCTTTAACTTCTTCTGGGGAAAGAGAACACATGACTGAGGAGTGCCCGAGAAAATCCCTCTAGAACCCCGCTACGAAGGGTTCACTTCTGAATTCCTAAGTCTCAGGATGAATGTAATTATCTTTTCACATTCTAGGCTAAGGCACAAAGTGAAAAGCAACAGTCTTTTGAAGGTCAAAATGTCTTATCTAAGTGTTTGAAAGATTAGCAACAAAATTTCCTACCACTATTTAAGGAGACAGTACAAAAGACCAACAGATGTCCATTAAGTTAAGACACAAACAGTGGCTAAATTTACCTATTTTTACACATGACTTGAATAGTGGTTGTTTTGATAATTCAGGAGCATTCCTTCAACCCATTGACAATACTGAATGTAGGTTTTTCTCAGAAAGGCTTTCTTACCTCGTAGAAGAAGGGATGTCCAGCCATATCAAAGATGTTGACTTTGATTTCTCTGTCTCTGACTTGTACCCTGAAATGTTCAAATGAAAACAATCCCAAAGAGGGTCATGGCTTCTGTACTCATGTTAATATCATTTATGTTGCTTATGAATTTCAAAAGGTTATGCGTATGAAATTTAAGAGGCTTTTTTAGAACAAGCACCCCCATTTGGCTTCATCTTACCACGACAGTTCAGTCTATACCCTGTACAAAACAAATGGTAGCTATTACTGTGCTGCTAAAACAAATTTATTTGGGACAGTAGGAGCAAGATGAAGAAAAACAAAATGTTTTACTTCACTTAGCGTGACATCTTAATTACCACTGGTTGTACTTGTTACCATGCAGTAAAATAAATAGTACAAAGTTGTATTATTATTTTAATGATTTGTTTAATTTTCTTATGATCTTCATTTGAGCAAGAATAACAGTCAATCTGTTTTCAGAAATTTGGAAGTAGAGAAAAGAAAAGGGAAATAACAACCATTCACATTAGAATTAACTACTGCTAACATCAGAGCATTCTTGCTCCTAGTCCCTTTATTTTTTAGAGAAAAATAACTACTGGAAAGTGAATGAATGAAACATTATAAATAACTTAAACACTAAAGAAAAGTATAAAGATGAAAGCTTAAAAGTAATCCCAAAGCCTACCACCCAGAAAAAAAAAAACCTTCATTAACACAGATGAGCATCACTGTAGACTTCTTTTTTATATGTAGATAAAAAAGATAAACATCAATATTTTTATAAAATTGGGGTTATATTAATTTAAAATAAAAGAAAATTTTACTTTTCACTGAGTTTAACAAAAGAAAGAAAAAGAAACTCAAGTAAACTGGGGGGAATTACTGAGTTTTAAATATAAATGTTCTTCATTACAGAAATAGGATTTCCTAAAAGATTCCTCTAAGGTTAAGAATAGAGATTATTAACAATAAATCAACAGATTAGAGTTCTGTTTTTTAAGTAACATGCTTCAGACAGTATTGGTAGGACTCCCTCTGTGGACTACAAGGAAACAGCACCTGCTCTCATTGTTTCTATATTACCTTCTGCTTTGTTTATGATTATAATTTCCTTTCCAAGTTTATAACATGTACTTTCTATTCTGAAACCATAATTCCTATAGTTGTTTTATATTACTTGTATATTTAAATCAGACTAACCACTACTCATCTTATCATGATTTCTTCAGTCCTGAATTCTCTGCCATATTTCATCAGTTCTAAGATGCACATTTGTTTTCATTTTAACAACTGTGAAATCAGGAGGATCTGTCTCATAAAAGGATGTGAGAACAGCAAAACAAAACAAAATATTTAAGAGTTTGAGAGCATCTGGAGAAGAGCTTATATAACAACTCCTATTAGAAAGTTTTGTCACATAGCAGCTGAGAAGGGATAGAACTGAAGTTTATAAAATCAGGAAGTAACATAAATTATGTTTACAAACTGGAACTCAAAACAGGGCAGTTTACTTTAGAAGTCTGACAGAGGATATTACCTTAAGAAAAATGGTAATTCATTACCTCAAGCCAGTGCTTTCCTAAACTGTGACCTGAAGACTACCCGAATCATAATTATGGAAAGAGAGGGAGAGTGTTTATATCGTGGAGTCCTGTGCCCCACCTCAGACCCAGTAAATCACAAACTTACTGGATGGGGCTTGGGAATCTTCATTTTTACAGACTCTACAAGTAGTTCTTAAGCATACTGTGATTTGAAGGATGGAGTGGGCTTCCATTGTTTTGACTACTCAAAGAATACCTCCCTTCCTCCTGCCAACTGTGGTTTAAATGGGTTCTTCCATCTTCTTTTTTGATGCCACTCTGCTAGCCACAGCTAACAGAGCTGGGGAAAGGTGCCTGTCACCACCTGGACAATCAAAACCTTCCCTGGGATTTTTAAATTTGAGATTAGTTTTGGAAAGCCTGAGAGGTAATGGCAGCTATGGAGAGAGAGCCAGAAGGTAGAGAGAGACATGTTGTGAAATCCCTCCCTAGTTCCAGGGATCTCTCAGACCCAGCTATATTCTCATGATTGGATTATGTGAATTGATTAAAAGCCTTTTTTTTTCTTTTCTTTTTTTTTGACGAGTTAGGTTTCTGTCATCCATATTCTCTTCCTCACCAAAGGACAAAAAAAAAAAAATTTCAACCAGAAACAGAACATAATCAACACTCCATATCCGCAAGTTCTATATCCATAGATTCAACTGAACTTGGACCAAAAATATTCAGGGGGAAAAAAAAACCCTTGAAATTTCAAAAAGCAAAATTTGAACTTGCTGCAAAGTAGAAACTATTTACATAGCATTAACATTGTATTTACATTCTATTATGTGTTATAAGTTATATAGAGAAGATTTAAAGTATTGAGAGAATGTGTATAGTAAGTACTACACTATCTTATATATAAGGGATTTAAACATTGGCAGGTTTTGGTATCCACAGGGGGTCCTGGAACCAATATTCCTCAGATAATGAGATGACTATAGTCTATTGACTAAACCACAGCTCTATGGCATGAAATCATAACTCTCACTTCTTAGATGAATAAATTAGCTACTAATATGGGCTCAAAACAAAACTGCCTTAAACAGGATATACTACCATATCACTGAAATCCTGTGCCCTGAAATATAGATACCCCTCACCACTTTAGGCTACCTTCTTGAATGTTGCCCTCATATTCTAATGTTGCAAACTTCCTCTTTAGCTGCATCTATCTTCAGATCAGTTCAGTTCAGTCGCTCAGTCGTGTCTGACTCTTTGCAACCCCATGAACTGCAGCACACCAGGCCTCCCTGTCCATCACCAACTCCCGGAATTTACTCAAACTCATGTCCATTGAGTTGGTGATGCCATTCAACCATCTCATCCTCTGTCATCCCCTTCTCCTCCTGCCCCCAATCCTCCCAGCATCAGGGTCTTTTCCAATGAGTCAACTCTTTGCATGAGGTGGCCAAAGTATTGGAGTTTCACCTTCAACATCAGTCCTTCCAATGAACACCCAGGACTGATCTCCTTTAGGATGGACTGGTTGGATCTCCTTGCAGTCCAAGGGACTCTCAAAAGAGTCTTCTCCAACACCACAGTTCAAAAGCATCAATTCTTCGGCGCTCAGCTTTCTTCACAGTCCAACATCTATCTTACCTAACAATAATTATTTATTGAGTATGGACTGTGTACTAGCACTGTATCAGGCACTTGGAGATAATTTATTCTAATAGCCTCTCTACATGGAGCTCATAATCTAGCAGGAGACATTAAACACATACAAATAATAAGACAAGATAATTTATGCTAACACCTATGAATAGCAGAGAATTTTAATACAACTGTCATTTTCAACTAAAATGAGTCCTGCACAAACAGATGGAGAAATATACCATGTTCGTGGATTGGAAGAATCAATATTGTCAAAATGGCTATACTACCCAAAGCAATCTATAGATTCAATGCAATCCCTATCAAACTACCAATGGTATTTTTCACAGAACTAGAACAAATAATTTCACAATTTGTACGGAAATACAAAAAACCTCGAATAGCCAAAGTAACCTTGAGAAAGAAGAATGGAACTGGAGGAATCAACCTGCCTGACTTCAGACTATACTACAAAGCCACAGTCATCAAGACAGTATGGTACTGGCACAAAGACAGAAATATAGATCAATGGAACAGAATAGAAAGCCCAGAGATAAATCCACGAACCTATGGTCACCTTATCTTCGACAAAGGAGGCAAGGATATACAATGGAAAAAAGACAACCTCTTTAACAAGTGGTGCTGGGAAAACTGGTCAACCACCTGTAAAAGAATGAAACTAGAACACTTTCTAACACCATACACAAAAATAAACTCAAAATGGATTAAAGATCTAAATGTAAGACCAGAAACTATAAAACTCCTAGAGGAGAACATAGGCAAAACACTCTCCGACATAAATCACAGCAGGATCCTCTATGACCCACATCCCAGAATTTTAGAAACAAAAGCAAAAATAAACAAATGGGACCTAATGAAACTTAAAAGCTTTTGCACAACAAAGGAAACTATAAGCAAGGTGAAAAGACAGCCCTCAGATTGGGAGAAAATAATAGCAAATGAAGCAACAGACAAAGGATTAATCTCAAAAATATACGAGCAACTCCTGCAGCTCAATTCCAGAAAAATAAATGACCCAATCAAAAAATGGGCCAAAGAACTAAACAGACATTTCTCCAAGGAAGACATACAGATGGCAAAAAAACACATGAAAAGATGCTCAACATCACTCATTATCAGAGAAATGCAAATCAAAACCACAATGAGGTACCATTACACGCCAGTCAGGATGGCTGCTATCCAAAAGTCTACAAGCAATAAATGCTGGAGAGGGTGTGGAGAAAAGGGAACCCTCTTACACTGTTGGTGGGAATGCAAATTAGTACAGCCACTATGGAAAACAGTATGGAGATTTCTTAAAAAGCTGGAAATAGAACTGCCATATGACCCAGCAATACCACTTCTGGGCATACACACTGAGGAAACCAGATCTGAAAGAGACATGTGCACCCCAATGTTCATCGCAGCACTGTTTATAATAGCCAGGACATGGAAGCAACCTAGATGCCCATCAGCAGACGAATGGATGAGGAAGCTGTGGTACATATACACCATGGAATATTACTCAACCATTAAAAAGAATTCATTTGAATCAGTTCTAATGAGATGGATGAAACTGGAGCCCATTATACAGAGCGAAGTAAGCCAGAAAGATAAAGACCATTACAGTATACTAACACATATATATGGAATTTAGAAAGATGGTAACGATAACCCTATATGCAAAACAGAAAAAGAGACTCAGATGTATAGAACAGACTTGTGGACTCTGTGGGAGAAGGCGAGGGTGGGATGTTTCAAGAGAACAGCATCGAAACATATATATCTAGGGTGAAACAGATCACCAGCCCAGGTTGGATGCATGAGACAAGTGCTCGGGCCTGGTGCACTGGGAAGACCCAGAGGGATGGGGTGGAGAGGGAGGTGGGAGCGGGGACCGGGATGGGGAATACATGTAAATCCATGGCTAATTCATTTCAATGTATGACAAAAACCACTGCAATGTTGTAAAGTAATTAGCCTCCAACTAATAAAAATAAATGGAAAAAATAAAAAAATAAAAAAAATAAATAAAATAAAATGAGTCCTGACCGATAAAGGGGATGTTCAGAACGTCTCATGGGAACATGTATACTTTACAGCTTGAGGAGATTGACAGGTGGAGAGACGAGGGGAAAGGACATTTCAGGTGGACAGCATGAAGGATGGCACTGAGAGAGAAAAGTATGATTGTATGAATTCAGTGTGGATGGAGAGTAAAGTGTGTGAAAGAATGTAATAAGAGAAAAGGGAGGGGCAGGCCGGGGTCAGAATAGTGACTTGAAGCTCCCTCTCCGGAGATGAGCTATCTACCTCCATTCTACACTTCCACAGTGTGCTTTCCTCCTAATGCGACTCTATCTCCCCAAGCTCAACCCATTTCAATCCACCTCCAAATAAATCCCCACTGATACCCAATTTCACTCTACCCAGATAATTTTTGCTAGATTTCAAAATGCTATAAAAAGATTACTAAAAGGAAGTTCTCTGATAGAAAATTTTTCACATAATATTTAAAATTCTTAGAGTGAATATTTCAAAATTCTCTAAAAACACACCTGCTAACAGGACCTGCTTACATAGACACATGCTTCCTAAAAAGGTATGTCTGCCAGTCAGGCTTTGTGCTGACTTGCCCATCACAAGCCCCTACATCCTACTTAGAAGGCTTGGCAAACAGAACGTGCTCCATGATAAACAAATGACATGATCACTGCTGTCTGTAAAGGTCTCATTCCTCTCTGTACCAATTTATCTTCAGAATCTATTTCAAGACAGATCAGTTTAGAGGGGTTCTGAATTTCTATGTGATTTGCAAGCCTAAGGAAACAATATATGTACTCACTTTGTGACTCCATAGTCAATTCCAATTGTTGCAAGGTATTTAGACACAAATCTCTTCTCACAGTATCGCTTTATAATACAGCTCTAAAAAGGTAAAAATAAAAGCTTTTAGTAAAGACACTCTGGGAACCCATAAAAAATAAGCACATTTCTTCATTATGGTTTCTTCATCTACCCCTATGAGACAATGCTTTTTTAAAACCTGAAATTATAAAATAACGGAAACAAGTACTAAAGGCGAAGTTTTTAAAGGGAAATTATTTCAAAACTCTTTCCTTAATACCAAACATGGGTATGTTTTCAATTTAGTGCTCAATCCTTGTTCTCTCTTCTTTTGAAGCCCTCTTCTACTCAATAATAACACCAACATACTTTTAATAATAACACCAAAATATCTATCTCGACTTCCCTCCCCAGACCAGATCCACATCTTCAAATATCTACTAGACCAATTTCTACCTAGATGTCCAACCATTCTACAAATTCCACGTGTCCAAATATGAACTAATCTTATACATAAAAATAGCAGACAGCTCATCCTGCTGACATCTGTTTCCGTTAATGATACCATTTTCCCAATTACAGAGGATTAAATTATTAAAGTCATATCTGACTCTGAGTCTTTCTAAATCTTCTTTTGACCGTTTCTTCGATCTTTCTCTTCGTTCTTTTTTTTTTTCTCTTCATTCTAATTCCCATTGATACCACTTTAGTTTAGGTCTTCATTATCTACTCCTGTACAACTATAGGAAATTCTTTATTGGTCTTTATGCCTCCTTTCCCTCCCAATTTCAATCAACACTGCATACTGCTAACATTATTTCACTTCTCTAACTAAAAATCTTCAGCAGCTTCTCACTGCCAAGAGTTCAACATCCGAACTCCTCTGTCCATTATTCAAGACCCTCCATAATCTGACCCTAATCTGTCTTCTGTCTAAACCCTTCTAAAATAAATCCTCCATTTCTGCCAAATTCCAGGCCTGACTTCCTGACTCTTGTCATTACTTTCCTTCCTATTTGGAATGAGCTTTCTCCCTTCTTTCCAAATCTTACTTATCCCAAAGCACTCTGGTTATAAGAGATCTTGCCTGCATCTGAACTCCTCTAACATAAACTACACATGTATATAGATGTATATATAAATATATATACAATGTTTTTGTTATCATTCACTGCCTTGTTATCTTTCACCTGTACATCATTTTATCTCTTCAGCTAGACAGTAAATTACTTGAAGGCAAGCACCGGTATTTTACTCCTTTTATCTTGTATCTTCACATCTGAGAGATTAGCTGAGGGCCAATGAAAAAGTGATTTAAAATGACTTATACATTAATAGCAATTCTTAGCTCTCATGAAACATAATTTACTTGAAGCACTGGTGATGAAGCTTATTCTGCTCACTTTCCTGATGAACCTCAATCTAAATTAAATAGGACAGCTGCTTTAAAAAGTACTTAATAAGCTCACTGGGAACTGAAGGAAAAACTTCTTTGGAGTGACTACGGCTAAAAAGCTACACTTTAAAAAACACCTTACAGCTTGAAAGCATTTTTCAAATGTTTTCTCTCAGAATATCCGAGAAAAATAAATATAGCCTTTTTCTAAATTATTCATGAGATTAAGGTACGTGGAAGTCCTTTAACTCCAGTAGACAATTTAAACACTCAGTTCAGTTCAGTCACTCAGTCGTGTCCGACTCTTTACGACACCATGAACCGCAGCACAGCAGGTCTCCCTGTCCATCACCAACTCCTGAAGTCCATCCAAACCCATGTCCATTGAATCGGTGATGCCATCCAACCATCTCATCCTCTGTCATCCCCTTCTCCTCCTGCCCTCAATCTTTCCCAGCATCAGGGTCCTTTCCAATGAGTCAGCTCTTCGCATCAGATGTCCAAAGTATTGGAGTTTCAGCTTCAACATCAGTCCTTCCAATGAACACCCAGGACTCATCTCCTTTAGAATGGATCTCCTTGCAGTCCAAGGGACTCTCAAGAGTCTTCTCCAACACCACAGTTCAAAAGCATCAATTCTTCGGCTCTCAGCTTTCTTTATGGTCCGACTCTCACATCCATACATGACTACTGGAAAAACCATAGCTTTGACTAGACAGACCTTTGTCAGCAAAGTAATTGTCTCTGCTTTTTAATACACTGTCTAGGCTGGTCATTGCTTTTCTTCCAAAGAGCGTCTTTTAATTTCACGGCAGCAGTCACCATCTGCAGTGATTTTGAAGCCCAAGAAAAGAAAGTCTGTCACTGTTTCCATTGTTTTCCCATATATTTACCATGAAGTGATGGGACCAGATGCCATGATCTTCATTTTTTGAATGTTGAGTTTTAAACCAGCTTTTTCACTCTCCTCTTTCATCAAGAGGCTCTTTAGTTCCTCTTCACTTTCTGCCCTAAGGGTGGTGTCATCTGCATAACTGAGGTTATTGATATTTCTCCCTGCAATCTTGACTCCAGCTTGTGCTTCATCCAGCCCAACATTTTGCATGATAAATAAACAGGGTGACAATATACAGCCTTGACATACTCCTTTCCCAATTTGGAACCAGTCCATTGTTCCATGTCCGGTTCTGTTGCTTCTTGACCTGCATACAGATTTCTCAGGAGGCAAGTAATAGAATTATCCTAAAATTCATATGAAAGAACAGCTATCTGAGAAGAACTAATTGAAGTATAAAAAAGAGGAAAGGGACAAGGCAGTAGAAAGAGGTGAGAATTTGCATTGACAAGTATTAAAATATAGTTTGAAACCAATTGAGAGGGTCTTATATTGGCATAAAAATAGACAAGTAGTTTAGTAGAAAAGAACAGAGAGCTCCAAAATAGGCCCCATTATATATGAAAATTTTAAAAGTGACAAAAGTGATATTTAAAGTCAATGGGAAAAAACAAAACAAAAAAATAATAAAGTCAATGGGAAAAATATTTAGTATAAGGTTACTGGCACACTGAATATCCATCAGGAAAAAAAAAATTAAGTTGGGTCCTTAACTGACTTATATGCAAAAAAAATTACAGGTGAATTTGTGATTTAAGTATTTCAAATTAAAACAATAAGAATTTCACAAGAAAACATGCGATATATGTAGAATATCCGAAAACATTTTCAACCAAAACAGAAAACCCAGAAACCATAAAAAAAACAAACAGAAAAGCATAGTCAAAGCATCTTGAAAAAGAACAAAGCTGGAGGTATACCCTCTGATTTCAAACTATAGAACAAAATGGCAGTAATCAAAACAGCAGGATATTGACATAAAAACAGACACACAGATCAATGGAACAGAATAGACAACCCAGACACAAACCCACAGTTAGATGGTCAATCAATGACAAAAAAGCAATAATATATAATGGGAAAACACACCACTTTTAATAAACGGTATTGGGAAAACTAGACAGCTATATGTAAAAGAATCAACTGAACTACTTTCTCACACCATACATAAAAAAACACCACTAATCATAAAGGAAATGCAAATTAAAACTACAATGAGATACCACCTTACACTAGTAAGAATGGCTGTCATCAAAAAGACAATTAATAACAAGTGTTAGGATGTGGAGAAAAGGGATCCTTGTGCATCACTGGTGGGATTCTCAACTGGTGCAGTGACAATGGAACACATTGTATGAAGGTTTGGCAAAAAAATAAAAATAGAACAACCATATGATCCAGCAATTTCACTTCTGGGTACTTACCTAAAGCAAACAAAAACACCAATTCAAAAAGATATATGCACCCTGATGTTCACTGCAGCATTATTTACAATAGCTAAGATATGGAGGCAACCTAAGTGTTCATCCACGGATGACCGGATAAAGAAGATATGGTATAAATATATATTATATGTATATATATATGCACATAATGGACTATTACTGTTATTTTTTAAATAAATTTTAAATTTTTATTTTTTTCATTTTAAAAATGAAATCTTATCATTCATGAAAACATGAATGAAATTTAAGAGGGTATTATGTTAAGTGAAATAAGTCAAAGACAGACAAATGCCATATGATCTCATATGTGGAACCTAACAAACAAAACAAAAACAGACTCAGAGATACAGAGAACAAATGGGTAGTTGCCAGAGGGGGTAGGGGATGGGGAAGTGAAATAGGTAAACAGGAACAAGAGGTACAAACCTCCAGTTATAAAAGAAGTAAGCCACTAGAATGTATTATACAGCATGGAGAATACAGTCAATAATATTATTGCAGTAACTTCATATGGGGACAGTTGGTTGCTAGACTTTGTGATGATCATTTCATAATGTATACAAATGTCAAATCACTGTGTAACATACCTGGAGCTAACATAATATTGTACATCAACTATATTTCAATTTTAAAAAAGATGGGCATAATTGAATATATACAAATAGTAATAAAAGCAATTATATGGCAAAACACCAAGTATTCAAAGAACATAACTGGGGCAAATATTTGTAACTCATATGGCTGGCAAAAAGTTAATAACTCTAACATCCCCAAACCAGAAAAACTGGTAAGAAAGACACATCGCCTAACAGAAAAGTTGGTTTAGAATATAAACAAATTATGATGATTAACTTCTTGATATTGAACCAAGTTTGCATTCCAGGAATAAACCCTACTTGCTAATAGTGAAATTTTTGATATGCTGCTGAATTCTATTCATGGATATTTAGGAATTATGCATTTGTATGTATATATGAAAATAGTATATATACTTTTCTTTTTTGATACTATGTCAAGGTTTGCTATTTAAATAACCATAACTTTATATAAATAAACTGGAGTACTGTTCATCTTTTTCTTTGCCTTGGAATAACTTAAGTAACTGAAATTATATGTTATTTAAAGCTTAAATAAATCTTTTCATGAAACCATCTGATCCTGATACCTTTTTGGATAGTAAATCTTTTAATTGCTTTTTCCAATTTCTTTTTGTATGACTGGTCACTTGGGTGTTCTACTTCTTTTTGAGTCAATTTTGGTAATTTATATTTTGCTAGGAAATCTTCCATTTTCTCTATATTTTGAAATATGTTCCCACAGAACTAAATATATGTAGTATTCTCTAATCGTTCTTTTAATTTCTTCCAGAATGTGATTTTCAGTACTAATCTTGTAATTTTTTGCTTTCTCTATTTTTCTTAAAATAAATTTTAGGCATTTTTCTTTTTCATTAATCTTTCCAGGGAATTCTTTCTCTCATATTTGGTGCCCTTTTTCTTCTGTCTTAAGTTCCTTTATTTTTTAAAGTTCAGTTATACTATACCATAATATTCATACTTTTAAGATGTACAATTCAGTGGTTCCAAGCATAGTCACAAAGTTGTACAACTACTAAGTTCTTTTAGTTTTTAACGTCTCCTTTTTAGAAATGAGTTAGATAATTCATTTTCCTTTTAGGATTGCTTCAATTTGCCCTGAAGGTTTTGGCAAGGATTCTCTCCTTTCATTGGTTTCTAGTTATTTTGTCATTTGCTTTGATTTGTCCTTTGAGCCAAGGACTATTTACTAGGGCATGTCTTTTTAACCTAAAATTATTTATCTGTATATCTTCCTACATATTCTAAATCCTTTAAAATGAGTGTGTTTTACTTTTATAATTAAGGCAAGCATTTTTTAATTACATTTAAATATTTCATCTATGAAAAAATTATTTTTGAGAAAGGCATTCAGAAGGAATCCACTCTACCCCCAAACAGTAAACAGTTGTAACAGAAGTATTTATTAAATGGTCCCTGCTGCTGCTGCTGCTGCTGCTAAGTCGCTTCAGTCGTGTCTAACTCTGTGCAACCCCATAGACGGCAGCCCACCAGGCTCCTCCATCCCTGGGATTCTCCAGGCAAGAATACTGGAGTGGGTTGCCATTTCCTTCTCCAATGCATGAAAGTGAAAAGTGAAAGTGAAGGCGCTCAGTCGTGTCCTACTCTTAGTGATCCCATGGACTGCAGCCCACCAGGCTCCTTCATCCATGGGATTTTCCAGGCAAGAGTACTGGAGTGGGTTGCCATGGCCTTCTCCTAAATGGTCCCTACTTTCCCAGTTTAACTATATTTGTTGTAAACTGAATTTCCTTATACTTTTGGGTTTATTTCTGGACTCCAATCTGTTTCTCTAATGTCTCTGTATTTACTTTCCAGTATCAACAGGAAAAGCTTGGTAACTTTAAAATATGTTTTAATATCTGGTAGCGTTAGTTTCCTCTCATTTCTTCTCCTCAATTTTCTTGGTTAGTCTCACATTTAATTTTTCATAAGGATTTTTAGTACCTTTTATTATGTTCTGAAGAAAAAAATTACTGATGTTTTAACTATAATTGAATGACATTTGTAGATTATTTTAAAGAACTGATATCTCCAAAATATTGAGTGAACCTAATTAAGAGGACACATACCTTTCCACTTGTCTAAGTAATTGTATGTCTCTCTGTAGAAATGTTTCTTTATATAGGTCCTAGGACCTACTATATCTTCTAAAGTTTAAGCCTGGGTACTTTATTTTGGTCATTATTGTACATTAAAACAGTTTTTCAATTATATAGTCCAAAAATTATAATTCTGATACAGTAAAGCTGTAAATTTTTATATATTAATTTTGTCTATTGTTTCTAATAGGTTTTCAGTTAATTCTTTTTGGGTTTTCAGATAAATAATCATATCATTAACATATAATGGCAATTTTGCTTTCTCCTTTTCAGCATTTCATACATTATTTCCTTCTCCCTAACTGCATTGGTTAATAAATCTAGAACCATATTACATGAACGTGGTGACACTGGACATATTAAACTATTTCTAAAGTTTAATCATTCAGTTGAGTTCAGTTGCTCAGTCCTGTCTGACTCTCTGTGACCCCATGAACCGCAGCACGCCAGGCCTCCCTGTCCATCACCAACTCCCGGAGTTCACCCAAACCCATGTGCATAGTAAAATTTTAAAAGTGAGCATGCTCACTTAGCCAGTTTAGTATTTAGTATATGACCTTCTAGAGGTCTTTCTTTTTTTTCAATGCCTGGCACATAGCTGATGTTAAGTAATCATTGACTTTCAGCTATGTTACTACATACATATGCATAGGTATATAAACAATACAAAATGAGACAAGTGCTCGGGCCTGGTGCACTGGGAAGACCCAGAGGGAGCAGGTAGAGAGGGAGGTGGGAGGGGGGATAGGGATGGGGAATACATGTAAAATCATGGCTGATTCATGTCAATGTATGACAAAACCCACTACAATACTGTAAAGTAATTAGCCTCCAACTAATAAAAATAAATGAAAATAAATAAATAAATCTAGCATTTGTAAAAAAAAAAGTAAAGAAAAGACACTAATAAACATCTGCTGAGCATCAATTACGTGCAGGTCTTTGGCATAAACACTCCCATTAACAGCTCTCTGGGCATGTAGATCCTACTAGAAGTTGATTTTGACAGCAAATAATGATTGGAAAAGGAGGCTTCCCGGTTGCTCAGTGGTAAAGAATCCACCGGCAATGCAGGAGACCCAGGTTCGATCCCTGGGTTGGGAAGATCCCCTGGAAAGGGAAATGGCAACTCAATCTAGTGTGCTTGGCTTGGAAATCCCACGGACAGAGGAGCCTGGCGGGCTACAGTCCATGGGGTCGCAAAAGAGTCTTGGTGACTAAACAACAATGATGGAAAGAACATTGCAATGGGAGTGTGAAGACCCAGATTCTAATTCTGTCTCAATCACTGATTTGATGACCTTACAATGTTCTTAAATTAACAGTTTCCACTCACCCTGAAGAAGAGGCAATTTGGATGAAGAAGAGGCGGTCTTAGAATTCACATGGGGATAAAGACCTCTGTTCGCCTCTTGCCCTCCCTACCCCCAATACTATGGGAGAGTTTAGAGCTGATAGCCAGTAGAAGCACCATAGAAAAAGACAGTGGATCTAAGACTTCTTTGCGATAATGCATGTGGTGACACTATCAGAGAGAAACACAAACAAGACAAAATAATGCAAGTTCCTTGACATCCACTGTACCTCCCTGTGAAACATTTCAGCATCAGTTACGCTCTCTTACAAATGAAATGTAGATTCTGGGCTCCACATCTACAGAGTAAATTTTACAAATCCCCATCCTCACACACAGCCCAGTAAGTTATCAGCTCCCAAGCTCCGCTGGGATAACTAAACTTTTATTCTCCACCTCAAAGTCCTGTACAGGTCACCCAGAACGCAGACATGTTATACAAGCAGACGATCTGACATGAGGACCTAGGCCTCCTCTCTCTTTGGGATATAGTTAGCGGTTAGAGGCCACTCGAGACACCTTCTTAGGTGTCAGAGGGGGGCGACCCAAAGGTCAAAAAGGTCAGGAGAGTTTTTCCTCTTGGAGCCAGATCCCTCAGGAGACCCAGGCCTGCTCAGGGGCGGGGAGGAGGCCGGGCGACCAGGCTGTTGAGTGGCCGCCCTCCCAGCCAATCGGCACGTCGCTCCGCCGCGCTGCGGTCCCGCCCCTCCCAGCGCTGTACTCACTTTTCCCACTTCGGCGTTGCCCATGGAGATGACTTTGATGCGCAGGGACTTGCCAGGCTCCTTCCGCTTCGGCATGCTGGCCTCCATGGCCCTCGCTCTCTCGGGGCCAGCAGCCTCGGTCTCTGCTTGTTCACCACGCTGGCCCGTCCCTCAGGCTTCCTCGTCCAATGGCGGGACCGCTGCTCTCGTCACCGCCTCGGCTCCGCGGCTCGCCATCCCCGCCGCTGCCTGGCAGCGGGCGCTGGCGGTTGGGAGCGTAGGGAACTGGGGGAAGGGAGAAGAGAGTCTCGCGATGCTAGCAAGGGGCCGCGTAACGTCATCACCAGGCCCCAGAGATGAGGCTGCTCCCTAGGGTCGCGCGATCTGGCCCGGCAGCGGCCCTAGGAAGAAAGGTGGCCTCACGGGGGGTGGCTGAGTTTTACACTTCATGGAGAATGCGACCTTGTGTCCAGCGTGGGGTTCAGGACCTAGAAATTTGTTAGGTTCGCAGCCGAGTGGTAGAAATTTATTGACTGTTCGAGGCAGATTCTCAGGCTGGAAGTAGCTGAAATTATGTATTAGTTCAAGGTCCATCGGCGCGGATATGCCAAGTAGACCACGGTCCGTTTTGGTGTATTTTTTGTGGATTCTTCAGTACCCATGGGCGCTGACACCCCCCCCCCCCCCAATATTATGTTTGCCTTGGGGTCCCTATTGTGTACTTCTGGCCTGCAGGTGGAACGTTCAGATTAGACCTTTCTTATACTTTAACTTCTGTCAAGGTGTTTGTGATTGTAGCTGTGAGCTCAGTTTATCTCGTTACCCTGCTACTCATCCACATTTAACCCCATCTTGTTCTCACCTTTAGCTGAAAATATAACAAGAAAATCATAATTCTGAGATAACCACTTTTCTCGTTCTAAGCGATGAGACAAGAAAGCATCTTCTAGAATAGAAAACAGTTTGAGCAACTGTCGCTTTTTGGGTCAATATATTTAGCTACAGAAGATGAATAGAACTTGACAAACGTTTGTTTAGTGCCCTGAAAAAGAATGGCTGCCAATTTCCCACTAAATTATGAGGGGGAAGGTAGCATTGCTTCTGTTCTCACATAGGTGTAAACGTTTTAAATACATTGCAAGAAAATAGTGACTAAAGGCTCAAAGTTTTATAACAGTTATTTTAAGTTAGATTTTTCAAGCATTTTAATGTTTAATTTTGAAACATTAAATGCTTATTAAGAAAAAAGCTTATTTTGGATTGTTTCCATAGTAAACAAGTAATGTAATTTAGTTCGGTGAAGCTTCTAAAATTCTTTACAATTATGAAATATAAGTCCTAGTTAGAATTTTGATAGCTTAAAGCTTAAAAGAATTGGATTTATACTGATTTTCCAGATGCTGATCTCTCAGTATGATTTGATAAATCAATAAACATCTGTTTCTTTTGTTTCTTCTTTTTTAACTTATTATTTAATTGGAGGAAAATTGCTTTACAATGTTGTGTTGGTTTCTGCCATACTGGCCCTGTAATAGAACTGATATTGTGGAAGTATAATTTCAAAATGTCAAATCTTCAACTATTAAAGACATTAGGTATAATACTGTTGAGCATGAGAGCAGTGAAATGTGCTAAAGACTAAAATTTATTATCATTTTTTCATATTGATGTTTTCAAGGTTTGAATATGTACAGCCATATTGTTTACTAGTTGTGTTAAATTAGTTTAAAACAGAAAAAGCAAGAAAGTTAGCTTTCTTTTCTGGTCTAAGATAAAAAGAGCAAAGAGAAGTATGTTAACTGTGTATGGAGCTGGAAGATATAGTATGGGTATTAGAAATGTGAGCTCTGGAGTCAGCCCTCTTAATCCACAATGTTGGCATGACACAGGTGTGTAGTAGCAGTCAGGGCTGCCCATGAAGTATATGGTAATCCCCAATAAACAACAGCAGTATGCTTTCATTTACTCATATTTTTTATGTTTTATCTGTTATGAAAGATTCTACATATATTTTTATTAATTAACTTTTATTTTTGGTTGCACTGGGTCTTCATTGCTATGTGGAGGCTCTCTCTAGTTGTGCAGAAGCAGGGGCTAGTCTCTAGATGTGTGGGCCTTTCATTGCAGTGGCCTCCCTTATTGCAGAGCACAGGCTTCAGGTGCTCCGGCTTCAGTAATTGTGGCACACAGGCTCAGCAGTTACAGCTCAAGGACCCTAAAGCATGGGCTCAGTAGTTGTGGCACACAGGCTTAGTTGCCCCTCTGTATGTGGAATCTTCTGGACCAAGTATCTAGCCAGTGTCCCCTGCATTGGTAGGCAGATTCTTATCCACTGTACCACTAGAGAAGTCCAGATTCTACATATTTATTCTTTAAAATAAACTATGAAGTATGTCAGACATAGTTAAATATATGAATGATAATGTAATGTATATCTGTGTAGTGTCCACCACTTACCTTAGGAAATAAAACATCTGTGATATTGTATGTACTCTTCCCCAAATGTATATCCCTCTTCCCACTCTACAAAACATTATAACTATTTGAATTGGCGCTTCTAATTTCCAGGCATTTAAATATTATTTTACTATATATGTATATACACCTTGAAATATAGTATTGTATTTCATCTTTTAGAAATCTTTATTTTGAAATAATTTCAAGAATAGTAGGGGGGGAAAACCTTGTAAACCCTTTATCCAGATTCCTTGTTAATATTTTGCTCATTTCCTATATCAGTTGTGCTCACTATGTGTGCACAATTATACACACAATTTGTCTAAATCATTTGAAAGTAGTTTGCAGATGTCTTTCTTTATTCATAAACACTTTGATGTGCATTTCCTAAATAACAAGGACTTTCTCTTACATAGCAACAGCATATTTATCAATTGGAGGAAGCGTAACATTAATACAAAACTATCGTCTAATCCTGTGGTTCCCAAACTGTGCACTGGGTGCCCCACAGCACCACGGTGAATTCATGGAGGGTATCCGTGTGATATTTTATTCATACATTCTGAACTTTCAAGGCAAGCAAAACTACTCACTTGAGGTTATGCACAGCTTTAACAATAGATGGCGCCATATTTCTTGGAAATGTCACATACTTGGGAAGCTGGGTTTTTTCAGTGTTTGTGATAAAACATACAGTGCAAAAATCAATGAGAACAGGAAATGAGGGTGGTCTTACCCAAACTGATTCCAGGATTTGAAAAGTTGTACAGTGCACAGTAGCTGCATAAATCCCATTAGTAAATAATTGTGGTTATTTAAGAATGAAATAAAAATACCATTTCTCTTTCAGTTTATGTGTAATATTTTTTCAAATGGCAACTAAATTGTTAGAGCATAAGCATTTAATAAGTTGCTTGGAGCTAGATTTTTTTTTTTTTTTTTTGGCCAAGGAACACCATGAAAAAATTACTGAGACACTGAGGGCACCTTGAACCAAGAACATGTGGGAAATTTTGATCAAACACAATCCTTATTCAGATTTTACCATTTACTCTAATAGTATTCTCTGTAACTATGTTCTTTACCCCTGGTCTGGAGCCTCATCCAGCATCATTTAGTTGCCATATATCTTCAGTCTTTTTAAAATCTGAATCTATTTTTAGAATATCCCTCAATTTGTGTTTGGTGTATTCTTGTGATTAGATTCAGTTGTTTTTAAGATAGGGAGATTATTCTCCCTGGGCCAGACCTCAGGTTGTTAAAGTGAAAGTCACTCAGTTGTGTCTGACTCTTTGCGATCCCACGGACTATACAGTCCATGGAATTCTCCAGGCCAGAATACTGGAGTGGGTAACGTTTCCCTTCTCCAGGGGATCTTCCCAACTCAGGTATCAAACCCAGGTCTCTTGCATTGCAGGCAGATTCTTTACCAGCTAAGCCACAAGAGAAGCTCTTGTTAAGGAAAGGTTGCTAAGGAAAGTTCTTAAATGGGACAAACCTTTTTCTGGTGAGAGGTATTCAGAGAGTGAAAAAGATTCAGCGTGAGGGAGGTTCTCCATTGCTGGCTTTGAAGATGGAAGGGGCCACATAGCAAAGACCTTAGTGGGCTGTCGGAGCTGAGAGGGAATCCCTAGTTGATAGCTAGCAAGAAAACGGGCACCTCAATCCTACCACCTCAAGTAAATGAATTCTGCTAAAAACCTGCATAATATGGGATGGTACTCTTGAGTTGCAGGTGAGGACACAGCTATCTATCACCCTGATTGCACCCTTATGAGATTTCTGATCCAGAGAACAAGTTACTCCTTGCCGGGATTTCTGACCTACAGAACTGTGAGATATTAAATGTTTGAAGCTGTTGTTATACAGCAACAGAAAACTAATACACATACTGAATAGTTTTGTATTAGATTCAATTTATTGAGAAGCTCTCTTTCTAGTTTGGCAGTGAAAGTCCCTACAGACCAAGTCTCCCACTGATAACTATAAACTCTGAAAGAAATGCAGAACAATGACCTGGGGATTCTGAAGGGTAATATAATAATCAGGCAGATGATGGAGGGGAGTGAAAAAACTTAGAGAAGCATCTGGCATGGGATGAGTTTTTCCTGAGCAATACAAGGACCTTGGAAGATACTCTGACTAGCCCTTTCTGTCTTACGTGTGAGTTCCAGGATTTTAGTTCTGAGCATGCACTGCACTGTATCAGAGGACATGAATATTATGCTACCGTGTAGACACCTACACACTCATCCTACTATCATCTATAGGACTGTGTGACTGAAACAATATTTCCTATCCCATAGGATATTTTCTGTAAAATGAAAATACGCATAAAATTTACCATTCTGATCATTTTAAAGTGTACAGTTCAGTGGCATTAAGTGCATTCACATTGTATGAAACCATTACTACAATCCACCTCCAGATCTTTTCCATCTTTCCAAACTGAAATTCTTTCCCCATTAAACATCAGCTTCCCCTCCTCTTTCCCCCTACTCCTGGCAACCACCATTCTCCTTCTGTCTCTATGCATTTGACTACCCCTGGCATCTCATTTGTGTGGAATCACACAGTATTTGTCCTTTTCTGACTGGCTTGTTTCACTTAGCATAATGTCTTCAAGGTTCTCATATAATATTCTTATAATG